TTATATAATATCTAGAAGTCTAGAATACTAAGCTATATATACTAGAATTTATAATAATAATTAACTATAAGAAATTAGAGTACTTTTTTAAGCTATATAAACTTATAGAGAAATATATATAATAGAGTCTAATTCTAAGTAGATTTAACTTTAAATTAGTCTATTAAAAAAGAATAGAAAATAAATAAGTAGATACTCTATTATAATAGAAATAGAATATATCTAATAAATAAGATTCTAGTATATTATTCTATATAATCTAGATCTTTAATAGAATACTAAAAGAGAATCTAAAATTTAGAACTAGTCTATTTATTATAGCTCTAGTATAGCTATAAGAATATAGAATAGAGTTTAATAAAGACTCTCTAGAATAGATATTATAGATTAAAATAGAACTACTAGAGCTAGAGAATAAATCTAAGAGTAGCTAGAATTATACTCTAGTAGTAGATATAGATTATTAAATTTAATAAAGCTTATATAAAAGAAAATATAGAAATTTCTATTTTAACTAAAGCTAAAGATTTCTCTAAGTAAATATTTAATAGAAGAGACTTAGATATACTTTAGAGAAAGATAATAAATTCCTAACTATAAACTACTTTATATAGAATTTATTTAAAATAATTATAATTCTCTAATTATATAATATCTAGACTAAAAATAGAATCATTTTTCTCTTAGTAGAGTATACTTCTAGTCTAATATATTCTAAGATATAAGAAGATATATCTAAAACTATAATATCTATAGTTATATAAAACTATAAAGAAAATTAAAGTATAGATTATTAAAATTATTACTAATACTAGACTAATTATAATAAGAGCTAACTATAGATTTTATTACTAATTTATCTAATAGTAAATTATATATAAATCTTCTTATAATTATAGATAGACTAATAAAAAAAGTAATATTCTATATAATAAAGAAGATTACTATAGAAGCTATAGCTAAGATACTACTTAAAATAATTCTTAGATAATATAGATTATTAAGAATCTTAGTATTAGATTAAGATATCTAGTTTACTAGCTAAATATAGAAAAGAATATATAATCTACTAGAAATTAATAGATAATTATCTATAGTATATTAATAAAGTAATAGAATATATAAATAGTATAGTTAAAGTCTATTTAAGAGCTTATATAGATTATAATTAAAAAAACTAGATTAAATTATTTTCTTTAGCTAAACTAATAATTAATAATTATATAAATATAGTTACTAGATTCTACTATTTTTCTTAAACTATAGATATAAGCTAAGTATAATATACTAAGAGATTATATATAATATAAATCTAAAAATAGTCTTCTCTAGTTCTATATAATAAGAAGATATAACTATATAGAAGATATATAATACTCTAGACTAGATCTAAGATATTATTATTTATATCTAGTAGATTATAGAAAGATAGACTAATAAATCATACTAAGCTACTTCTTTATATTAGAAGAGTAATTAAGTATAGCTAAATCTATAAAATATTTAAATAAACTATCTAAGTAAAAAGCTGGACTAAAAGAATATAAAGTATACTATTTTAGAAAAAATAGAATTATATACTATATAACTTAATACTCTAAAAGAAATTTATCTTATTTTTTATATTAATCTACTTTACTCTATAATTAATAATATACTATTTTTATAGCTATAAGAAGATACCTAACTACTATCTATAATAATTAATAATAAAGAAGAGTATAAAGTTAAAAAAATTCTTAATAAATAAAATATAATAAGAGGCTGGAAGACTTAACTATAATATCTAGTTAAATAGAAAGACTATATAGAATTAATCTAGAAACTAGTGTCAGACTGGCAGCTCACCTGACTACCAAACCCTAGCCCTAATTCCTGGATTGAGCTATTTGAACCACTGTTCCAGCCCAAATCTACCCCTGGCTAATTTACCCCTGCATTCTCACCCTGGATTCTCACCCCTGCATTCTCACCCTGGATTCTCACCCCTGCTCAATGATTTCCTGAGGATCATCCTGAACCAGTTGACCAGATATGTATTGAAATCAGTGGCTTGTTTATTTTCTTATTCATCCTATCTTTGATTCTTTTGACTTTAATTATCTTTGACTTTGACCTTGCTTTGACTTCACTTCTATACTCAGTTTGTATGGACAAGTGAAAGTTAAATAAAGTCCTAATTAATTCTATTTGAAAAGAACTGAAACTCCAACAACTAGTCTTAGTACTTAATAATACAAAAGCTACTATAAAATAGTAGCTATAAACTCTATTAATTCCTAACTAATATTATATAAATATTAATAAAAAAAAAAGAGAAATAATAATAAAATAATAATAAAAGACTAGTACTTACTAATAATTCTTCTTTAATTCTAATTCTATAAACTAAAAGAAAGAAAAATAAAAAAAAAGAAGAAAAAAGAAAAGAAAAAGAATTAAAAAATCTTTTATTTCTTTAAACTAACTAGAAGAAGCTTTACTTAATCTAATAAAATAAATTAACTACTACTAAATTAAATTTTATTATATACTATATTTAGTCTATTAACTCTTTAATAATATTATAAAAGAGAGTAATAATAACTATAGACTTATATTTAGACTTATCTAGATTATAGTATCTATAGTAAGTACTATAATTCTTAAACTTATATCTAATATAAGTATTTTTCTACTATCTAGATAATTAAATAGTCTATTAAAATTTTATTTAATTATTATACTTATAGTAATATAATATAACTAAACTATAAGATATAATTAGAAGACTATTAATATAAGAAAAGTATTTAGTATATATCTAATAATATTAGTATTTTATATTAAAATATTAGATTATTTTATCTAAGTAATAATAAGAGTATTAGCTCTTATTCCTTAATTTATAATAAGAAAAGTACTAAATATATTATTAATTCTAAGTATAATAAAATTAGAGTAAAGTCTTATTTCTATATATTAATAATTATATAGTAATCTAATACTTAGAATTACTAGTATAAGTATTATAGATAATAAAATAGTATATAGAAATAAATAATAAATTATAATTAGAGATAAAGATAAAAGCTTAGAAAGAATTATAATAAATAAAATTAAGAAAATTATTTAATTAGTTAGATTTATTAACTCTAGAGTTAGAAAGAGAAGATATTATATAATAGAAAAAAAAGATAATAGTAAATTATATAAATAAAAGAAGAATAAACTAAGAAAGAAGAGAAGATATTAAAAAAAAAAAAACTAATTTAGAAGAAGAATAGTCTTCTTATCTAATACTTTATATATTCTATTATAAAGCTAATAACTAAGTCTAACTATATCTCTAAAACTGATTATATAAGCTGTATAAAGAAAGTTTTATTTACTAAGAAACTATTAGATTTACTAAATTAAGAAGAGTTATATAATAAAGAAAATAATAGTAAATAAAATAGACTCTATTTATACTTATACTATCTATTAACTAGCTATAATACTATCTAGAAAGAAAGCTGAATTAAAGAACTATTACTCTAAATCTATACTACTAATTATATAAATATAAATCATAAAGAAAGATAAGAAAGAAGAAGAAGACTTCTATTATAGAATTAAGATTCTAATATAGAACTTAGCTTTAGATACTAGTTAGTATCTAAGATCTTATATACTATATACTAAACTAGTACTAGATTAGTTTATATACATCTAAAAGAATTTTATATAAACTGATAAAATAGCTCTTCAGCTATTTCTTCTTATTCAAAGGCATGTTTCGATCAGTATGATCCATCCGTCCCGTAACAATCTATAAAGTAATTATTTTATCTAATTATAAAAAGATAACTAATAATCTTCTTCTTCCATATAGAATCTTATAATTAAGCTAAAGATAATCTACTAAATTTTCTATTATAATAATATTAGAATTTCTACTATTCTTTTTATTTAAAAATTAATCTTTATTCTTATATCTCTAGTTAATAGAGTAAATATATACTAGATCTATTTTATTGTATTTCTAATAAATTATCTATTAATATAGAATTTAATCTTAATAATATTTAGCTATTTAGAGATTACTATCTAGTCTTTTTTATTAAATACTTTAGATTAAGATATTCTAAGCTTACTAATAGATATAACTAGAATAGCTGAAACTAGATCTAATTAGATAATCTACTAAGTCTACTATTATATCTAAGCTTATCTAATTACTTCCACTATTATAGTTTATAGAATATTCTATCTATATTTATTTTATTATTTATAAAAAAGTAATTTATAATATTAAGAAATAAAAAGCTTATATAGTAAAGTTACTAATCTAAAGTTAAATTACTTAGAGAACTATCTAAAATACCTAGATTTTAATCTAAATATTTATATTATATAGAAAAGTCTATAGAATAGAATTCTTAGAGAGTTTATTAGCTTAATATAAAAAACTATTAACTAGTAAGCTCTACTTTACTAGTTAGTAAACAAAGACTTACTTTTAATAAAGAATCCAGACAGGGTGGAACTTTACAAGTTCCGCTACAGGATGGCTTACTGGCTTCAGCCTTTTACAGATACGTCAGTGTGGGGATCAGTTGAACTGTAGGACCCTATAATCATGGACTGCCTTCGGTAGATTCAAGCTATCTAACTAATTCGAAGGTCTGAATTGGAGGCTACTAATCAACTTACCGGCCAATAACTATGATTCTTCTAGAAAAGATGGTCCATGGACTGCTGAGTTCCCTGGATGTTTTGGAGCCATCGGCCTCAGGAGCAAAATGATCCAAATTGACCCATTAAGCTGCGGCGTCTGCTGCTGCCACCATGAGCCAGTAGCATGGCTTGACTAGAGCCATGCTGATATGCAGAGAATAGAAGAATAAACTCGGCTCTCGAAAGTATTCACATCAAAGGGGCATTGCAAGCAGTGAAGTAGACAATCAATATCATGACACATACCTGATGTTCCATTCTGAAAAAGCAACCTATTATTATCCACCGAGAAGCTAGAAATGTTAGCCGTCAATGGACAGTGTCAGAACCCGAAGGAGGCCAATTCTCAGAAGGGTAGGTTTAATGTTCAATCTGCCGCAGTAGGCAATCTACACTGCTTGTGTGAACGCATACCGTCACGGTATATGGTAGTGTATACTATAAGGTGGTATAAAATTATACACAGTACGAGTACGAGTACCATAACTGTTAAGAGGAAAGGGGCTGTGGGGTGCTTCTTGGCATCCAAGTTTCAGCCTACCGCGGCTACTGAGTATATCTGGATAATACGGAATACTAGGAAAGGATAGGCAGGGACTTCCCGAGTCAATAACCGTACAAAGACAATGGCCACAGGGCACCCCTTCCCCTTTCCCCCTTCATCTACCTTAGCTTGTTGACATAGATGTTTACAAGAAACCCATCTAGGTACCTAATGCCATACAATATGAAACAGTAGACTTTACCAGGAAATTTAATCCGGCGAGCCCGGCCACTCCTGTCGATGACAAGTACAACCCTCCTTTCCAGAAAACTACATACTCCGTGTGCTTGAGCTTAGCTGAATCAGCGACACTACAAATAACTACCCTACAGTTCATCCGTTTCATAGATGCTTCACCGAGTCTGGAAGACAAGAGAGTTCTTAGTTAGTCAGTCGATAGTTAGCCAAGCTAAGCCATTACCTACCACGGCACAAATCGCCACTAAAGTATCAGTGGTCTATTATTAGAAAGCTATGTTTAGAGGGCTGCGGCGGCGTGGCCTCTCAAGCGTTCGGCAAGAGTAACTACGTTGAATCAATGACAATTCATCAAAATTACACGAGTACACAGTATGGTCTTTGGATCCATGCCGTAGCGTTGGGTCACAGCCTTATAATTCGATCTGACTAAATATAACACCAGGTGGTTATTCTTGATTCCCGACGGTGAAGTACTGTAGGAAACTTAGTGCCTACATTGGAGAACTGGTAATACACAGATTATTGATACAGCAAAGGTCTTTATATCGTTCGGCAATCGTCCATACCGCGGGGGAAACGCCAACATGAACCGTTGACCAGCGGTTGATATTTTGAGCCAAGTTACGAGTGAAACATACCAATAGATTGTGTGAGGCGCAGGGTGGGCTTATTGGCTGCCACCTCATTTGATCAATGGTTGAGTGTGCCCTGGAGTGCCTGTAGCAGCTTCCCTGGTCTGTGTGCAAATTGTGGGTCAATCTTACCACATAAAACATAACAGCTCCCCCTCCTTCCGACCTTCATTGTTTGTTGATTCCCCCCCTCAAGTACTAATACCTCTGCCTGTTCTGCTTTTTAACTTCTCTTTTCCGAACCCCTCCCCCACCGCTCCTCTCTCTATCTTGATTGTCCACACCATTCCTTTGATCATAACTCCGATCGTATCCCAACCGAAGAATAACGGCAGCGTATGTCTAAAATGTCTTGAAACCCTTCTATAGTTTCACCATCCAGCCTAACATATTCGTCCATAGTCGGCACCTATTAGCGGAACATCGATCGACGCCCAATACCAGTGCGTTCTAATTAACACTCCGCTATCTGTTTAAACCACGTTATAATAGGACTTTCAACATGTGGTTTGTTTCGCTTCCCTGACGTCTGGGCCAGTCTGTTCTGACCTGTATGACAATTCAGTGGCATCTTCGGATACATCAACTATCTTGTCGAGAGGGACCGCAAGTACATCCTTGATACTCTGCTCAATGGTCTGTATTCAGCACCCGCTCGATCCTTTCTCGCATTGTTCTAACACTACGCAGGTCTCTCAAGACTCGAATACCGTGGCTACGACTCTGCTGGGCTCGCAATCGATGGCGACAAGAAAAATGAAGTCTGTGCTTTCAAAGAGGTTGGAAAGGTCGCAAAGCTGAAAGAGCTTATTGAGGAGTCCAAGCCCGACCTCACCAAGACTTTTGAGTCGCATGCTGGTATTTCCCACACTCGTTGGGCAACCCACGGAACTCCATCTCGTCAGAACTGCCACCCACACAGGTACGTATAGTATCTCTACTAAACTTCGATTATCCGACTGAGAAATACGGTCTTTGTGTGGTTGCACAGGTCCGATTTGAACTGGGAATTTGCTGTCGTCCACAATGGTATCATCACCAACTACAAGGAGCTTAAAGCTTTACTGGAAAGCAAAGGGTTCCGCTTCGAAACAGAAACCGATACTGAGTGTATCGCCAAGCTCACGAAGTATCTGTACGACCAACAGCCGGACATCGAATTCACTGTTTTGGCTAAGGCCGTTGTGAAGGAGCTTGAGGGTGCCTTTGGACTTCTCATCAAATCTGTGCACTACCCCCATGAAGTGATCGCTGCGCGCAAAGGGTCTCCTCTGGTCATCGGTGTCCGGACTTCCAAGAAAATGAAGGTCGACTTTGTTGACGTCGAATTTTCAGAAGATGGTGCTCTTCCAGCTGAGCAGGCTTCTCAGAATGTTGCCATCAAGAAGTCTGCTACTGGGCTGCTTGCTCCTCCTGACAAGTCACTTTTGCATCGTTCCCAGTCTCGTGCATTCCTCTCTGACGACGGTGTCCCCCAGCCGGCAGAATTCTTCTTGTCCTCAGATCCGTCCGCCATCGTCGAGCATACGAAGAAGGTTCTTTACCTAGAAGATGATGATATCGCTCATGTACATGAAGGCCAGCTCAACATTCACCGATTAACCAAAGATGATGGAACATCCAATGTCCGCGCTATCCAGACAATTGAGCTCGAGCTGCAGGAGATCATGAAAGGAAAGTTCGACCATTTCATGCAAAAGGAGATTTTCGAACAACCGGAGTCTGTGGTCAACACCATGAGAGGTCGACTGGATGTTGCCAATAAACAAGTCACGCTCGGTGGGCTCCGTCAATATATTTCCACTATTCGACGCTGCAGAAGAATCATATTTGTCGCTTGTGGAACCAGCTACCATTCATGTATGGCTGTGCGAGGAGTTTTCGAAGAGCTTACTGAGATACCCATCTCCGTTGAGCTCGCATCCGATTTCCTAGACAGACAGGCGCCAATCTTCCGCGACGATACGTGTGTGTTCGTCTCTCAATCTGGGGAGACTGCAGATTCGCTTATGGCTCTCCGGTATTGTCTGGAGAGAGGAGCGTTGACTGTCGGTATCGTCAATGTTGTGGGGTCTTCCATCTCTCTTTTGACACATTGCGGTGTTCATATCAATGCTGGCCCCGAGATTGGTGTTGCTTCAACCAAGGCTTACACTTCGCAATTTGTGGCTATGGTCATGTTCGCTCTTTCCTTGAGTGAAGACCGTGCCTCCAAGCAAAAGAGACGTGAGGAGATCATGGATGGACTTTCCAAAATCTCGGACCAGTTTAGAGAGATTCTCAAGCTTAATGAGCCCATCAAGCAAATGTGTGCGAAGTTCTTTAAGGACCAGAAAAGCCTGCTTCTGCTTGGCAGAGGTGGTCAATTTCCCACGGCTCTTGAAGGTATGCCATTAGACCCTCGCAATTGCGGTTGTGTCCACTAATTCTTTCCCCAGGTGCGCTGAAAATTAAGGAGATCTCTTACCTTCACTGCGAGGCTGTCATGTCGGGTGAACTGAAGCATGGTGTCCTTGCTCTTGTTGACGAGAACTTGCCAATCATTATGATCCTCACCAGAGACAATATCTTTACGAAGTCGTTGAATGCTTATCAGCAAGGTAAGTACCATCGACTCATCGCACCCAAGGTCTTGAGCTATTGGGTCCCATCTTGGCCATTACGGAAATACTTACCATGTTGAAGTTATTGCCCGCGGAGGTCGCCCCATTGTCATCTGCAATCATGATGACCCCGAATTCTCATCAGCTCAGACAGAGAAGATCGAAGTTCCCAAGACAGTTGACTGTCTTCAAGGGCTTATCAATGTTATCCCGCTCCAGCTGATTGCTTATTGGCTCGCGGTTGCTGAGGGTTTGAACGTCGATTTCCCCCGGAACCTCGCGAAGTCAGTGACTGTTGAGTAGCCCTTGCGTTTCAGCATGGGCTCAGTAGGTGACTTGAGTTGCGTTGCTCTGTTCCTTACCATAGTTTTTACACAAATGACTTTAAGCTTTTAACGACAAAAGAATGCGAGCGCTGCAGACACTATTTGTCTGTGCATTTTCGTTGTTGTGTATGGTTCCGAGCCAACGGTCTTCAGAACAGTCCTTGCCCTTGGTACTTCAATTGCACTAAGGTATATGTGCCGATCAATCCTCCATGACTATATGTTGCCTGTAGATTCAGCCAGGGTATGTTGCGGAGATTAAGCTCAGAAGTCTAGTCGTAGTAAGTCACATTACAAGGAAAAAGCATCCCCCAGTTCTTCGGGAGTTCGTTCTCTCGTCCGACTGAGCCTAGTCTGCCCGCAGGTACGCCTTTGGCTAATGGCTATGCATATTCATCGAGCGGATGATTCGGTAGGCAGTGCATGGATGGTCTGTACTAAACCTTGGGGTGCATCTTTCTGTCCTCCCACTGTAAAGTCCATAGGTACTACTATGGAGAAGTGCAGCGGGGCTGGGTCGGAACCCCACCTTAATCCGGACTTTCCAGCTCAAACGGCAACTTACATAGACTCCTCTTACACCCCGTGCTCAAGAACTCCACGAAGGCACCAGAGCTCACCATTCAGTACAATTGAAACATGTCTTCTATCAAAGGCCCCGGAGCTGCGCAGACTTACAATGGTGAGGGGCTTTCTAAATCACCACCTTGGTTCTAGCCTGTCACTGACTACTGGTCCATGTAGGCTTGGGGCTCAGAATTGCCATTGTTCACGCCAGGTGGAACATGGAAATAATCGGCCCTCTCGTTGATGGGGCTAAGCGACGCCTTCTATCTGCTGGAGTTCTGGAGGAAAACATCTCTATGCACACTGTCCCAGGCAGTTACGAGTTGCCCTACGCCACGCAGCGGTAAGCGAACGCGATGGAAAAGCCAGCTTCTAATTGGTACTGTTTCTTGTCCTAATGCCGTACTTCTAGGATATATGCCGCCTCTCAGATTCAAGCTGCTAGAAATTCAACTTCTGCTCAGGGAATTAGCGCCACAGATTTGCTCTCCTCCTCGAATGCAGACCTCGGTACACAGTCTACCCAGTCGCCGACTGCTGATCTGCCCAAGCCATTCGATGCCATCATAGCGATAGGTGTTTTGATAAAAGGGGAAACCATGCATTTTGAGTACATCGCCGATGCTGTGACCCACGGACTGATGCGCGTCCAACTGGAGTCTGGTGTGCCCGTCATTTTCGGTGTACTCACTGTTCTTAACGAGGAACAAGCTTTGGAAAGAGCTGGGTTGGGTAAGAAAGGGATGCATAACCACGGTGAGGATTGGGGCAATGCAGCTGTGGAACTCGGGTCAAAAAGAAGAGACTGGGCTGAAGGCAGAAATGTGTAGACTAGGTGGAGCGGGTAGTGGATGCACACGTGTTTGAAAGTAATGGACTTTTCTTGTTCTTAATGATGATCACTCTTCAAGGACCCTTAGCAGATGCAGACTCATTTTACTGGCCGATTCATTCTAAGCGAAGGCCGTGCCATTGATTATGAAATTTGAAGATATTTGAGAAGAGCTCGGGCCGTTAAGCCTCGCGTAATCCGCGTACTCATCGATAGACCGGAAATATAGAACCTTTACTCTTGCATGCGTTCGCTGTCAACAGCATCGCCTTTTGTGGCATCATCTTCCTCATCATCTCCCTCGAGGGCTGCTTTTGCCGCCCGCTCTGCTTCTTCGAGAAGCTCCCTGGGTACCGCTTCATGTCTTCCGTGTGTTGGACCGTCGAGTGTACTAATCCAAGTCATTTCGAGTTCGAAATCCTTGTCCTTACTATCTTCATGGGCAACGTAGATGATCCGAGCCGCTTCTTTCACGCCATCTAGAAGGCTCAGATTGCCGGCACTCAGGTCCAACTTCTCCAACTCAGCCTTAGCAGCCTGTCTACCTTTTCCGGTTGCAGCGCCATAATAACCCTTGTGGATATGGTTAGCACAAGGCATAAACTCAAAACCTGCGGTCCATGAGGTACGTACCCAATACAGGCCACTTGGCTCGATCATGTATAACCCTGGACCTCCAGCTTTTGCACCCTCGACTTTTCCACCAGAACCTGCATTGGGTCCGTTTCCAACCTGACCGTCAACGGCAAGTTCCGCTTCGGAATCCCAGCCTCCGATAATAGCGGACACCCCGAAGGGCCTCACGCTCGAATAGAGTGTGTAGGCCTGTACGTAGCTGCCGAGTCGGTTCGACAAAGCAGAGACTGGTATGGGTCCTTTGTAAACGTTTCTCCACGAAGAAGCTTCATCTCGCGCTCGAGAGACGAAATGCCGACCATCAGGGATCAATCCAGCTGAGACCTACATTGAGAGAAGCGTACAAATTAGCACATGTTCACAAAGGCAAGTCATATCCGTGTCTAATAGCAGGAATAATTCCTTACAATGCCGATATGGCGATCAACTGTGGCTATCCTCTTGTTTGCACCAGGCTTCAGGAGCTTGCTGCTGATGATTTTCTCCACTGCCAGTACAACACCGTCTTTGCATCTGATACCAACGGCCGTTCCTCCATTTTCAACAGCTTTGACCGCATATTCGACCTGCGGCAGATTGTCATTGGCTTGGCAGGCCCTGAGGTTACTCGCACAGACATACCTGAAAGTTGCGACCATCTGGTGAGAATACGGAGTTTGAGAGATCATAACCGGTTCCGATAGATGTCTTAACATAAAAGCGTCAGAATTGTGAGAGCAGAATCCACAGCGTTACAGGGCATACAGGTCAAACGAACCATGGCGGTTGTGAATAGTCGCAAAGCAAGCGCGAAGCGGATACACAGGTATGCGAGTGTTTGGTGCAGACAGATGATAGCTAAGAGCTTTTAGAAGTCGAAAAAGTCAAAACCAAAAGGTCACTGTCGTTGAAAGTAGGATAAGCAGTAGTTCAAACTGAGTGTTTCGAAGAAGGGGGGCAAGGGCCTCACGCGTAATGATTATGCCTAGACTAGACCATCTTCAACAGCGGGCCTTCGACGGACGGAGCTTAGTTAGCACAGACCACTTGCCGCTTTAGAGAGATTAGGTCAGGTGATGTGCAGCAGAATGACGTTGTCCCTAACCTACCGTGAGGTGTTCCTGGCCGGGGTCAAATGTAAGCAAGTGCCGATGAATAGCAAGGTTAGCCTGTACGAACTGAATCCGGGTGTCCATACTTATGCTTGCTGTCTATCTGATTCCTGGCTACAGACTAGATTATCTGGTCTTCTAAGTTTACATGCCCAACCAACCTTGAGGATTTGGGCAATCGGGCAATTAGGCAGCATACGCCTCCTGCCCTATTTCTTTGTGTAGAGGTCGATTTCCTATAGCTCGTCCATAACTGTGGTGCTTGTTCCTCGAATCTCTCTACCCTTACCATAATACATGAACAGGGGAATCTATCAAACGAACTACCGGCTGCCAACCACCCATTCACACCCCTTGCTGACGCATTGATCCTCTTTGCTTTGAACGATAGCCATCATGGATTCTATCTCTACCTTTCAGTGTGCCTTGTGCAGCCAGATCATGGATACATCAGAAGAGCTCGGCCCATTTGTCAAAGTCTCATGCTGTTCTCAGGTAGATAATCCAGCACTACTCATTGTTCGGCTCCTGATTAGAAGGACTTTTAGTGCCGACCGTCGGCATCTGCAAGTGAGATGAATTTTCAACAAGGACTTACAATACTTTTCGAGAGGAGTATGACACTTGGCCTCCCATCACCCGTTGCCAACGATAAATCAAGGTGCTCTGTTTCTGTTCCTCCCCACTCAACAGCGCTATACAGTATCACGCAACACTATCATCACTCAGCGCATATAGCTCGCCCAAAGGAATCGGCCAGCAATATGGAGATGCATCCTGTCGCAATTGACACACTTAGACAGCATAATGTCGATCCATCAACACTATCGCTTAGTCAATGTGAGCTTTACGATCAAGCAATGCCAGAACAACGGTCGCGCTTGTCACAAATGCGGCAATCATCCCTAGAGCACCAATGCAACATCGTCCGGGGCGATACTCAGGGCTCCAAAATACAAAATAGCGATGGGATAAATGAGGCTACCAACATTCCCGACTTTTGGGACATATCATTTGAGAATGGTACGACTGAGAATTTTGATACGCTTATGTCAGACCAAGGCGTCGATCAGTTTGCCGGCCAGTACGCCGAGCCATATATGATCATTGGCTATGGGGCTATTGCTCAGGTTGCTAGAGAATCTCCTGAGAGAAGAGACGTGGATCCACCACGCGAGCCTAGCACAGGAGCACCATATAAGCTTGCAAATGATCCTGTCTATAGGTCCCAGGGGCAGCGATGGTGGGAGTGTCGTTTTGGCATGGTTGAGCACATAGATCGATAATCACGCCCTGGCTATGTAGATTCTCCGTGACAGCGTATTATTGCCTGGATATATGTTGACAAAGACAGCTGTAATGTCAGACCTGCTAGTGCATACTCATACACAGTAGGGCTTCTACAAGCTCCTGAGAGCAGATTCTGCAGCTACCGATGCTACGGCAGCGTACCATCCTCCGTAGCATATAAAGCCACGATTACCACAGATGGGAACTACAAGGAAGACTTTGGAGGCACGGGCTATGTGTAATCCTGGTGTCATTGGAATAAATCGTCTGATATTCGTACGAAAGCTCGGAGGCTAAAGAAATATTCTCTTTTTATTTCGCACTAAGGCACACCCCACCAAACGAGTCGGGAAAATGGAGACAGATGTTTATGCACATGCTAGCGAGATTTATATACTATTTCTCCGTGCTGCGTATCGCCCTAATATCTGACCCCACGAGTGTCCCTTCTTTTGTTGACCCACCCCTCTTTCACCTTCCCCATTGGCACACGAAATCGAGGCTGCTAGCGTCGTATCCAGGATCATGAGCTGGTGGAGGAAGGAGACACTTCGCTATATTTGCCACAAAGCAAGGGGCTGGATGTCCGCGGAGCATGAAGCAAAGGAATGACTCAGCCAAACACTTGAACTGAAATATCGCCACCGTCTGGTATAACGTAGGCTCCATGATCGTGGCAGGAAAACCAGTGAAGACATCGCATATGTATCACAAATCAGACTGTGTCCTAAAGAGAAAGGAAGTGATAGCACAAAGAATCAAGAGATAAAAGAGAGACGTAGATGCTTCTCGAGCCCCGGGCAGGGCAGGAGCCGTGGCAGAAAGAGAGCCACTTCGAAGCGCCACGCTAGCGCACAGTTACTCTTCGTCGAGTGCTGCCATGGCCTCTGCGAGAGCATCAGCGGAGCGCTTGACCTCATCGACTACCTCGGCGGCTCGCTTGATCTTTTGGCACGGTTGTCCAGGCAAGTAACACCATTTCTGCAATTTCGAAGGGGAAGCTTCTGCCATAGCCTCGGCCAAGGCGTCAGCTGAGCGTTTAACTTCTCCAGTCACATCAGCTGCACGCTTCATCATGGCACAAGGCTGGCCAGGGAGATAGCACCACTTTTGAACACTGACAGCTTGCACAGTAGTGGCAGCAAGAGTGGCGAGTATAAGAGACAGGAGCTTCATGGTGGCGGTGGAAGATCAAGAGACAACTAACGGTTTTTGGTTTATGTTGTTTTCAGCAGGAAAATATATGATCATGGAAATATATGATAGATTTGCTTGTTTTCTGACACCGTGAAGACCACTGAAACGCCGAAAGGGAGATCATCTTATATATCGCAAGCCCCAGACATAGCCAGCGGTGCTGTCATTGTCATCGAATATATGGTTCAATAGATCGGACTCTTATTGATGCTGGGACCAGTTCTTGAATGTATGTGCAAAGGCATGACACCTTGTCCTCTTGCGAATTCGAAAGTCAATAGACAGAAAGAGATCCTGGCTATAAAGGCTCAAAGAAGGATCAATAGTATAGACTCGAATGTTCGTGCCTGTGAAGAGAACTTGACAAGAAGCAGGCAGCCCTAACACTGCCTCCTGAAAGAGTGTTTGTATGATAGCAGTAGTACTCTTCCGAGAGTATGTTGTGAACCAATTGCAGTATCGCTTGGGATCTCACATGACTTCTGCGATCTTGATGTAGCTCGATCAGGGCCTGAATAGGGCTCAATGCCACAGAGGTGTATATTGATTAGCTAATCTGGGCCAGAATAAGCCTCAATAGGTATGAATGCGTATCAGCTGGAAATCAAGTTCGTCACCTCTGGTTATTCAGACCCTAAGAAGACAATCAATAGGTCAGATGTACCGCATTCTGAGTTCATCTTCACCAGGATTCAGATACCAGTACAGTCTCGAGAAGGGAATTGTTGATGAAAAATCTGGGGCTGTAGGACGACTGAGACCTGCTACCTCAATGGTCAGCCATGAAGGACTAATACTGAAAATGGAGAATATGACTTGGGGATACCTGAATGACATATTCCAGTGGTTAGAATAAAAGGCGATTGACTCCGTAGTTACCCTGTAGTTAGCAGCCCGAGCTAGGCACTAGGCAAGAGATAAGATCGGCCCGTGTTGTTGTAAGGGAAAAAGGAAAGGTCATGGTGGATGCCGAGAAGATCCGCCCGTTTTTTCCGGCTCTCGTGCATCTCTCTCCCTCTCGCCTCGCTCTTTTCTTGCCGTCTCCGTCTCTTCTCCTCCTTTCCGTTCTCATTGCCAACCAGTGCTTATCCGCGCCTCCCCTCTCTTTGTTCTCTGTCTCTTTAACTCTGGTCAATCAAGATGTTCTCTCTCAGGACCGCGCAGCCTGCGCAGGTAAGTCAAATGCTATAAATGCCTGCTCTCTTTTCTACCTCAATTGCTCGGGTCAATCCTTCGCATCTGAGCTCACTGGGCCGCACACCATTCTCCACCAGCTCAGCTTCTCCTAGAGAGAGAGGGCGCGAAGCGATTCTTTATGTCAATTTGCCCCTCTCTACGCTTCTGTCGTTCTCTTGCCTGCAGATGAGCGGAAATAACTCTCTCAACTACCACGCTCGTTCCGCCTATTAACGCATTCATCTGTGATAGTCTCTTCTTCGTCGCGCTGCGGTGCCAACCTTTGCCCGTTCTTCAGTTCCAGCTAGATGTGCGCCAACTCTCCCTTCAAGCCATGATACGGATTGTCGATCATCATTGGTGACTAACGTGTGCCACCAGCCTTTGCTAGCGTGCAGTCGGACATTTTCAAGCCCACCAAGTATGGCGGCAAGTATACCGTCACACTCATTCCAGGTACTTTGACCATTTTAATTCTTACAATACATTCCCGCTCCTTTGTTGGCCCTGACATCCTTTCTGCTCATGTCATTACCCTGTTTTGTTACTGATTTGATTCCCAATTCTCAACGCAGGCGACGGAATTGGCGCCGAGGTTGCCGAATCGGTGAAAACTATCTTCAAGGCCGACAATGTCCCTATCGAGTGGGAGCAGGTGGATGTTAGTGGTGTGGACACCGGTAATAAGCACTCGGAGGAACTCTTTAAGGAGTCCATCGCATCTCTGCGACGCAACAAGCTGGGTCTGAAGGGTATTCTGTTTACCCCTGTCGAGCGTTCCGGTCATCAGTCGTTCAACGTCGCTCTTCGTCAGGAGCTTGATATTTTTGCATCGGTTGTCCTCATTAAGAACATTCCTGGTTACAAGACACGCCACGAGAACGTTGATCTCTGCATCATCCGTGAAAACACCGAGGGTGAATACTCGGGTCTTGAACACCAGTCCGTGCAAGGTGTTGTGGAGTCGCTGAAAATCATCACTCGTGCCAAGTCTGAGCGCATCGCAAAGTTCGCTTTCGGTTTTGCGCTTGCTAATAATAGGAAGAAGGTCACCTGCATCCACAAGGCTAATATTATGAAACTTGCGGATGGTCTGTTCCGGAGCACTTTCCACAAAGTTGCGGAGAACTACCCAACCCTGGAGGTCAACGACATGATTGTTGATAACGCTTCCATGCAGGCTGTTTCACGTCCCCAGCAATTCGATGTGATGGTGATGCCCAATCTGTATGGTGGCATTTTATCTAACATTGGTGCCGCCCTCGTTGGTGGCCCTGGTGTGGTTCCTGGCTGCAACATGGGTCGTGACGTTGCTGTGTTCGAGCCCGGATGCCGCCATGTTGGTCTTGATATTAAGGGCAAAGATCAGGCGAACCCTAGTGCCATGATTCTTTCCGGGTCCATGCTTCTTCGTCACCTTGGCCTGGATGATCACGCGAACAGAATCTCGAAGGCTGTGTATGATGTGATCGGTGAAGGGTATGTGATTGCTCAAGTGATCTAAGGCTCATTGCGAATTTCAGCTAACGCTACACTTATTAGGAAAACAAGAACTCGTGACATGGGCGGTCAGGCCACCACCCATGAATTCACCAGGGCCGTTCTCGACAAGATGGAGGCTGCTCTGTAATGGATCTCTTTTATCTTGCTATGATTATGATGATGAGAGCTTGTACAGGCTCATTCACTATTAATCTATTCTTTGACTGGTAGACCATGCTTGTTTCTGAAACTGTTACCATAAGTTCTCTATCATCCACCGACACCACTATATTGTCTTGGCAAACATCTGAATAGCTTGATTTGGAATACAAGGTAGATGACATATTGAACGAAAGACAATCTATTAGCGATGCTTTCATGCGTGACTCTCAACTTCTAACGGCCTGCAAGCTTGAGTCTTTCCTAAGCGAGCTATCATCCTTGGGCAGAGTGGACACATACGCAATACCTGTACGCCAATTTAAATCCCGACTCCGTAGTCCCAAACCACGCATTCTGCTTGAAATGGTTCGGAGACCGTATATCATTTTGCCGGCGAGAGGAGTGCACCGCACTTGTGTAGTGAATAGGCCAGGTGAGTATTGTTAGACCATAGCCCCGTTGCCTTAGACTGGGCTTGGCGTGTAGCTGCAATTTAAAACAGACTCAGCACAATCCCAATCCGGCAATGGTGATTTTTGTGCCTCAATTTGCGGAAAATCTGTGGCCGGAAGCAGTCCTATGTCTGTAGGTCCTGCGTGCGAATTATGGATTTGGAGACATGCAATCAGAATGCAGGGCGCCGTTTTCTGCCAGTGTATTTGGAATCTGCTTTGACCACCTTGCCCTTCCTGGTCATTTGTTCTTTCTTACGCAAAATCCAAGCCTTATCACCTTTTCGGTAAGACAGTGGTCTCCCTTTCCCCAACGCTGTCTTTCTAGCATCGAGCACGTCCACATCACTCATGCCATTGACAATCCCTGTGATATCGCCCTGGAGACCTCCGCCACCGACAGTGAGTACGAGGTACAACTTGCTGTTCTTTGTGCCGGGATCATCTTCGAGGATACCAGCCCCGAACCCAGCTTTCATTGCGGCTCCACTGATCATGCTCCGCTGAGCATCATTTTTGGGGTAAAATTGACAGACTGCGCGGCCTCCGCGTCGAAGGCTAGCGTAGAGACCCTCGAAAAACCGCCGCAACCGACCCTCGGCGCTAACATCGCTTGATTCTGCATTGCAGAGCCATTGAATTGCACTTATACTGATGGCTGCATCGAACGTCCCGGGTCGAAAGGGGACCCCTTGCCCGATGTCGGCCAACATTAGGCTAAGGACACCCTCATCTTCCCGCTGCAGGGCAAGGTCGAGCATACTGGGAGCAATGTCCATGCCAATCCACGTATGCCCAGCCTGTGAAAGGATCTCACCCGATAAACCGGAGCCACAACCGACGTCCAAAATGAGGGATGGGGATTGGAGGTCAAGGAGTTCGAGTGCCCGGTGGGTCATGTCTGACTGAATCTTGCGGATTCGCGACGAAGAGGTATACTTCTTTGCCTCCCGGTCGTCATAATGGAGATCGGCATATCTCACGTGATATTAGGTTGAGTTATACAAGTATAGCGACAGATGACGGCACTCACAGGGTATCCTCAGGGCGAGACATGGTCGTCGGTATGTGGTTTGTGGGATCTGAATATGGATGTCAAGTTTAAGAAAAAGTTGCTGAGGGATTGAAATTCTGCCCCGTCTTACACCGCTCGGCTTGTCGATAGTATAAGCCACTTCAGTGGCCGGCTGCATCCTAGATAAAGCGGTGTCGAAGACGGTGTCAGATCACCTTGTGTACTTGCGTACAATGTTGCAGATAAATACAGATGCATGCTCTGTCTTTCATCGTGGGGCTCGGTGTTGATTTTTTTCAAGGTTTATTATGATAGACAGATCCCGAGCGAAAACCTTGTAAAAGTGGTCCTCATTTATTACGGTATTAATTATTTTATGACGGTGGAAAGCCATACGGTCTTCAAGATTCCATGGTTATAGTGAACTAGGTCGGTCTCCACCACTTTACCAACTCTTTGGCTTTCTAATCATCGCTGCAGTAGCGAGAAGTATTCTATACTATCGATATGAGGTATCGGAAAGTACTTCTCACACAGGAACATATAATATGAACCAGGGAATATAGTTAGGTACGGGAAGTGGGTCCTACACAATATAACATCAATCTAGCTCTAAAACACCTCCTTGTGAAAGTATCATCCTGCACCATACCTGGATCAGGCTGGGGTCACTCTGTCCAAAAATGCGGGAAGGCAGCAACAGCACTGCCGCCTCGCTTAAAATGCTCTCTCTTACAATGTTTCTGTCTGCACCCTACCATTCACCCACTCGCATGCCTGAGGTCTTCCACTTCGTCCCGTATCCTTACTCATCCATCCGATCCAGAAGTAGTCGTTGCTCCTTCTTCCTACGCTTCTTGTGGCCTGATAATGGAGATTAATGCAAGATGTAGTAGTTCTGACTGCATAAATAATGATCCTAGCCCACCATGTCTATAATCCTCGGTACCATATTATTGCAGATTCTGATAACAGAAAAGAGGGAAAGGCGGAATAATTTTGCCAGGGCTTTGAGGCTACGAAGTAAGTTAGTCTCGCCGCCCGCCCGCATTCATCAGGCAAATGAGTCTCGTATGCATTCGGGTAACCTACTGTTAGCAGGTACTTTCTAGCAACACATATATATGCCAACCGAGTTCTGTCTCCTCCCTCTGTCATTTCCAGCGACGGTGCTTGCTTCCATCGACAACTCCTGTATGGTGATGGACTTCTGCACATAAACCTCTTTTTTCTCAATCCAGCCTAGGAAACCAAGCTGCTTGTTGCTGACATCAGGCCAACGGGTCAAATTCTCGTACACGAACAAAAAGAATCCGGCGATCTTGTCTGCGCCCACTGCAAATTGAACCATGTGGATTTTGCCGCTATTAGGATACTTGGGGGTGATTACCGGCTTTGCTTTCCTTACTTTAGCTATTGGTACGTATATTGATGAGTGGAAACGACACTGAACCTCATGAGCCTCATTTCCTTGAACATGGCAAGTAGGAAATCCGGCCACAGTACTAACTCACGCCAGCATCGGGGCTGTACTACTTGTCCGAGCTCGTCGAGGAACACACTGTTCTTGCCCGTCGGTTGCTATTCCGGCTGATATACAGCATCATCCTTGTCCAGATTCTTCTTATCTTATTTGATCGATTCCCTCTCAGCCTTTCAGCGCTCAGTATCGGCTCTCACCTTGTTTATGCCAGCAACTTACGTCGATTTCCACTTGTGAAACTCTCGGACCCCCTTTTCATCTTGTCATGTGTCCTCGTAGGGTTGAATCACTGGCTTTGGTTTCGACATTTTTCGCAACCATTGCCTTCGACCCGGAGCCCAACAAGCTGGAGACACCCATACCAAATCAGCGCTGAGGATATGCCGACCTTCACTGAAGTGGCTTCTTACTTCGGACTATGCGTCTGGTTGGTGCCTTTTGCTCTGTTTGTCAGCCTTAGTGCCGGGGAAAACGTTTTGCCTAGCATGGGCTCTGAGTATGTGACCGGAGAGCACGTTCCTGGCGTTGAATTCGCTCGTGGTGCTTTATCATCCCATGGCAGGTCTAGAAATAAGGGGATGGCGAAGGCATTGGTGGATAGTTTCCGGGATTGGGTACGCGAAAATGGGGAATTGATGGGATTTCGCAAGGGCGAGCGATCGAAAAGATTCTAAAATCTTTGGATATTCACATTCCTGCTGAGATGTACATATGCGACGTAAATAGAACTTTGACATGGTATAGAGCCCAGTACATATACTACCTTGGGCTTACGACAATGCAAGTGGTGCTGGCCGCTTGAATAGAGCTGGCAGTCGACCAACACATGTTGTCCAGCGCACATTGATGACAGAGCTCATAGATTCGCCAAGGTAAGAAAGTACCTGCAGTACTCCGGGGTGACACAGGCGTATTTAATGGTTGCAACAAGGAGACATGAATGGACCCCAATCAATAAGCTAAGACAAACCAGGCTGCGATGCAATTTTGTGTGCATAGGCATGACAGGTTGAAACCAAAAGCGAATCAAACGGAAGACTGGGTATATGGTCTCTGTACCTTGTGACCCACATCGAGCATGAAAGTATGAATTGAGAAGATCTGCGACATGTGCTCTTTAATTCCAAGTCGGAAGTGGCAGTTCACGAAGCTCGGTATCGAAGAGATAACACAAAGGACAAAGGAAGCAAGCAAAGAAAGACGCCATATTCATATTATCATTAGCATTAAGCATTCCCCGCCGTGCCTTTGGAAAACCTGATTGAATGCAGAGCCGTTTTTGTACTCATTCGAGGGCTAGTCATCCGGACAGGGGTATGCTGCTTGAACTCGACGGATGGAAGGATACCGTATCGAAGGCTAATCAACCAGCGAAAGGCAAGGCAGGTAACGGAAGAGGGAGGACGGCGATGAAAGATAGAGACGAGTGATGTAACATCAAAAATGAAGAGTGACTGGAAGTATATAAACAGTTACCAATGACCAAGTCGACAAGTGGTGTGTTGATACAGAGCGTGGAACTTGGCAGTAGCCAGGAAATCCTGGGTAGGGTCGATTCGTCCCAGCTGCATTGCATGAAGCGCCGAGATCATACCAACCAGCTTAGTCATCTTGCCCTTGAGGTGAAAAGCTATGGTTGATGTCCATGAATAGAAGAGAGCTTTCCCTCCTTTTGGCCTTGGTTGAACGAGTGCTGTCCACATTCGGCGATAACATTCTGTTGACAGTAGGCGAACTTGACTGATTCAATTGAGGCCCCTCCGAGCCAACATTATTAACGGAAGTCTTGTAGCTTGGTTGCGTAAAGCTAGGAACACACTCTGCATGCGCAGAAGTATTATGTGCTGTTTGCTCCCGATTCGCTGTCCGACTGAGAGTAGACGTCCCAGCATCTGGTAGCACCTGACGACAAGGGAAAGAGGACGCTTCTGGAACTGAAAAGTTTTCATCACGAGTTTTTGATGTCCCATTGCTAACTGGTTGCTCATCGAATATCTCTTCGTAATCAGTGAGAAAAGTGGAGAAGACTGGCGCTGGTATGTTGAGGGTGGGCGCGAATACAATGCCGACATTTCGAATGGTCATCTTGTTAATGTCCGAGTTATTGACGATAATCATCAGAAACTGTGCCAATGCACGTAGCAAAGTAAGATTCGGCCGGGGTAATCGGTGCACAAGGACATTAAAAGCATAGATTTTCTGCTTCTTCTCCTGGAGCTCTAAAAAGATATGAGTGTCATTCTTTGAATCCATCAAGTCAATGGTACTTACCGAGGACTCGCAAAAACTCCAAGTGCAGTTCACGGGTTAGGACGGTCGTGGGAAGCTCCCGGAGGTATTGTTTGAATAAAGATGCGACAGCATGCACATCATGATACTCTTCATCAGCCAGAAAGTCCACGTCACCTTCATTGTTAAACCGTTCCTTGAGAGCCTTGACAACAACATTGGACCCGCTCAATCGAAATATTCCCTCTTCGGACTCTGCACCCTTGGCTTTGAGATACTCTATGCATCGGTAAACCACGGCCGGTAATTCAACATCAAGGCCCTGGGGTGAACAGAATTGCACTGCCTCGGCCAACGGCAGACCAAACACGGGCCTGACATAGTCTCTTCTTTCAGGAGTACTGATAATATGAGGTGACGGGTTGTCATAGGCTGCCTGAAGCTGTGAGGCTAAATCCATTGATGATCTCGTGCGAAATCCCCATATACTCCTCTTCTTCTCCTTGACGCTTGTTGCAGTTTTGTTACCCCAGGCCCCTGCGTCTTGTATCACTGTTCCATTAGTAGGACCAGAAATTACTTTCGGTGGAACTTGGCCATAATCCTGACCGGAGTCTTGACTCTCTGTTGGGGACCCTGAAAAGACCAGAGGAGATTTAGGAGTCTGTCTATCAACGGCGGGTCCAAGGACGGGCGGTTCAGCAGGGACAGCGTCATCATAACTAAATCCTTGGACAGCATCGATGCCTTCGGCATCCGAGTTATCGAGGCCCTTGTTCTGTTTCTTGGAGTTAGTATTGGGAAATAGCCTAGACTTTGTAGGCGCGTTTAGAGCTGGCTTCGCAGAAGGCGTTTGTGCTTTTGAGGATGCGTTACAGGGTCCTTCATTGTCTTCCATTCGCACATCCACGTACTCCAGCAGCGCATCAACCCAGGCATCTCTCTCCTCATCACTCTCAGCGCACAAAACGTGACGAACAAGAGCAGTGGAATCTTTCTTTTTCGGTTCGAGTATGAGGAAAGCATGTCGGTACTGATTATCAGTATCATCCTCAAGGCGAGACGGGGAAGCTGGTTGGCTGCTTGGATTTGAAGACTGCTTGCCAATCTGAGCGCTCAATATCCTAATTGTTCCCAAATGAGGCCCACCTGGCGATTCGAAGTACTTGAATTCAGGGCCATGGAGAACAAAGTATCTGGCTTTCCATCCGCCAAAATTCTTTCCCCTCTTGGTCAAATAGCCCTCTTTGCGAGGTTTGCCATCTGGACCTCGCCGAATCTCAATTCCAGCTAGATTATTGCCTTTGAGGAGGCTCAATTCATCGTCCCGAGCTTCAATCGCGTCAGAAGTGAGAAACTGGCATAATATCAATGCTGCCTTTTCATCCATTGGCGTTTCAAGGAGAGTTTCAAAATAAGAGTTCAAGAGGGCACGCCTCGCATCGACTTTGGCAGGTGAATGCCCGCTAAAGATGGACCGGTCTGGTAACCTGCTTCCCCAAGAGACTAGCTGCCTCAAGTGTTGGTCTAGAAGAGGAAGAGCTGCAATGACTTTCTCAACACGCCAGAGCTCTCTGTTGTCTGACCTAGAGAATACACCTAAAGTAAATACTGGCTCCTCTTCCGATGGCCTTGGAGCCAGGTAACTGTTCCTGGAGGGCCGCAAGCGCGAAGATGATACCCTGACATGGACCAGGGGCAGCGCATTAGGGGGCAGCAAAAGGCCTGGATAATTTTCAGAGATGAAGCCTTGGTAGACTCCATTGAAACTCAAAGAAGACTGAAATATATCTACCTTAACAGCTCCATCGATTGAGGGAAGATGTTGACCAATTGAGTCGACGGAAGCTAAGCTATACCCAGCGCTTTCATTTGTTAGAGTAGTAGGGCCCAAAGCAGATGACATGGGATAATTAACATTTCGAGGGGACAGGGCCAAGCCGGAGAGCGTGCTCTCAGAAGATTTGGGTAAGGAAACCAAGGTGGGAATATCCCTGGGCAAACGCGGCAAAGGGGATCCAAGTGGACGATCTTCAGGTCGAGGACTTAGTGGTAGCCCAGGGCTCTTCGGGATGGTGATAGTGGGACGTTGGTGATTTGACCCTGCACGTGCCATTACATGGCTTGAATTACTGGGGTCCGTATAATTGGTGGGCGGTGACTGCTGTGAGTTTGAAAATTGTCTAGCGCCCGGTGTACTATGTCCGCGTTGAACCGAGCTTTCATGGACAGGACTCTGGGTTGTTGCACGAATCGCCTCACGATCCTGATCGTCTTCATCTCTTGTCCGTCTCCTGCCGCGCTTCGCAGGAAACTCCTCCACTGTCAAGATATCCTCATACTCGGAACCCGAATCAGAATCTTCCATGTTGTAAGCGAGGTTATGGTCCTTTTGGCCGAGATTAAGTGGCGACGGAGGGGGCTTTCGAATTGATTGAGACACCCTCTGTGAACTGCCACCGCTGGGTCTACAATCATTGTCGACCGAGCTAGATCTTGCGAGGCCGTTTGGATTGGATACAAAAAGCTCCTGACTGGTATTATATGTGGATTGGTAGCCTTGTGTTAAGAGACTCCCATCCGTATGCTGCTCAGGCACTTTCACCGGCTTGAAGGCGTTCTGCTTGTCAATTGCAAGCACGCTGTGCAGGCGATTACTGCTATCATGAACATCAAGACCTGCATTATCTGGCAGTGCTGCTCGATCCTCCCACAGAAAGTCTTTAGGCTGTTCTTGAGCAAAGGTAGTGGCGCCAACGTCGGCCCGTCCAGATGATTTGAACTCGCTCGTCGGATTCGGTAGCGGCGGTGGCAGACTCTGTAGTTCTTTAACCTTTTTCTTGTACCGATCCTTCTCCTTTGTTTGGCGTTCAAGGTCTTTGTTCAGTCCCAAAATGAGTGTGCGTTGCTTGTCAACCAGCCTCCAGAGCTGGGAATTTTGCGTTGCTGCATGATGCTTTTCTTTGAGCAAATGTATTATAACAGCTTCAGCGGATCCGGCAGTAGCTATTAGATTTCCGATGTCGGCCTCACTCAGCGCATTAGCATCGAAAGAAGATTTGTTGGTCTGTGACGCAGATGATAGAGAGGATATTGCAGAGTCGATTGATGATGTACGGGGCATTACACGTTGGCCCTGACGCTTCTCCGAGTTTGACTGTAAGGAATGGGCTGGCGACATCGAGGGAGGCGTTATCGAGGTATTGAGGCCGAATGATCCTTGCGTCTTATGCGACCGACTATCATACGATTGTCCGCTCATATCTATATCATACTGACTTTAGTCATTCCCGATAACGCTGGCTGCTGCTTCACAGGGTTGGACGTTCTTGAGACGCTAATGAAGCGATAAGCCGGAGAATTTGCATGAGCACAACGGGAAAAGGGAGAGGTACGTCGCAACGGAGCGATATTTCCAGAAGTTCAGGCGAAGGCAAGCATAGAGATGGAGCGGATGGGTTCGAGCAGCGGGCTGTCCCTGTGCACTCGTTTGAGGTGCGGACAGTGACGGTATGGAATCGGAAGCAAAGCGATGGAGTAGCCTCGAAGAGAATCAAAACGAGATCCTAAAATGTCGCGAACAGTTAGTTCGAACTGTGATAAGAGTAAGGGAAAGGATTTGTCAATGCCTTGCCGCCGACATTGGTTTGTGTGGGGAAGGACAGGACAGAAGAGGAAATAGGGGGGAAAGGGGCGGACGGAGTAAGCATGGTGTCAATGGCTTCCAGTGTGAAGTACCTTTCTTTTGGAGCAAACTATACGCGGCTACCCAGTGAGAGACAATGACAGTGCTAGTATGATATACAAGGTGGGCTTGAGATGTGTTGTGAACGAGAACAATAATTAAATCCTGTGGGCACCATCTGCAAGGCTAGATGCACTGGACCTCGTACGCGGGTCAGTCTCCAGGAGTAACCTCTTCATCTTGTCGGGCTTTCGATCTGCGCTTATCTCTGAGATAGTGATAGGTCCTGTTGCTTTATGATAAGATGGTTACCCATTGAGTCTTCGAATTTTTGATAGACCCTATGCAAAACAAAGGGCACTCATTCGTCCGTCTATTCTACGCTTCAGGTCTTTGCCAATATGTGAAAATAAGAATTCCGGGGAGCGCAAAGAGCAGAGAAAGATGCTTCACGTCCACTTGATGGGTGTAAGGTATATGCAATGGTGAAGGGTACGTGTCCTTCGCCAGGAGAAATAGGCAAATGTGAATGCAACGCCGCAGACACGAACTCCCAATCTAACCTGATGCCTTTGTAAGAGTATCTGGCTGCATCGATTTAAACGCCAACTATTCCTTGCAGAAATAGAATTCATGCTATATTTCCAGCCATACCCATGAAGATAGCTTGGGCGGCCAGCTGCAGTGACCAAAAACCGACTTTCTTGAATCGCCGCTTCCGAGCTTGCTCATCTACAACATCTCGAGCGAAAGCATCGTACACCTGATTGTCATTAGCATAGCCCTAAAATGACTGTAATGTCGAACTTACTGCCGCGGAAAGATCGTCCATCAAACCGCTATCAAAAGTCGTCCAGCTGCCGTCAAAATCACAAACCCGCTTGACAAGACGACAGTTCACAGGAATGAAGGTGCGTCTTGAATTGATATAAGCGACAATGGGGCGAATCAATGCGTTATTTATGTAAGATAGATCCCGGGTAAATAGAGGAACCACCGCTCTGACATTATTCAAGTGGAGACGGAGGTCAGTGACTAAGAAACGCTTGTCATCCTCGGAAGCGAAATCGCTAAGTGGAGATTTGGGCAAGGCCGACTCGTGGTCATTGTTGGATGTGACGGTGGCCTCTAGCCGATCATAAAAGTCGACCATGACCTTAGCAAGACTCTCATCGTTCTCAACCGGAAACATGATGTCAGCAACGATATCTACCGTACCCTCGTGTATCCAGGAGAAAGGTCCTTGAACTCCACGGTTTAGGTGGTCAATGTTGAGGCCATCCACGCGTATCCTGCTATGCTTTTTCCATGGGCTTGGTTTGCCATCCTCAGTACCACCATCAAGCTGCGCACCGGTGAAGCTGTGTGTTTGACGAGGATGTATTGTGAAGAGCGAATTATCGAACGATCCAGACATAATGTTGGCCGACATGAAATCATATAGAAGCCACTGCTTCCTTAGCTGAGGCAAGTCGCACGAAAAAATACTGACAGGAAAGGGCCTGAAACCGTCTGGCTGATATACTGTAACCAGCACGTCGCTCATTTTGAATGAATCGATCTCAAAGTCCCCAGGACTGTGTTCGTGCCGGTATGACTTGGGATCCAGGTCATCATCCGACCAATGGACGTACCTGCGGTCAATGACTCCCCTTATACCTCTTACCTCGACATCGCGAAGTAGACCCTTACCATTTATCCATTTGGTGAAAGACAGGGTAACATTGACAGTCTCGATTGACACGTCAAACTGCGTATAGTTCGTGTCTTCCTCATCCAACGAGGATCGCGCATCGGGAAGCTCCTGACTGGGCTGGCTCCCAAGAGCTGCAGCAGCAGCTACAGCCGCAGCAGTCTTCGACGATCCTTTACTAACATTTCCGGTCCCTTGACCTGGTCGTCTTGAGACAAAAACATTCTTGAACGTGATCACACCATCCCTCCATTTGGGCACAATAGCCGACTCAAAGACTACCTTCACCCCTGATGACTTGGTTAGATAATTGCCTATCCACCCTGCTAGTGTTTCTATACATAATCAGCTTTGGGCTATGCAGAGGCTAAGGTGCCGGGCGACTAACCTTGAGCAAAGACCGTGTTTATGGCGATAATCAGCAACGAGAAGAAAGTTGTCGTGCCTAACACTACCCAGAGTACATGCCCGAGAAGTACCCAGGAAAAAAGAGCCGTGATTTCGTCCAAATTGAAGGGGCGCACGCTCCTGATAGAAAACCACTTGAACCGCACTTTGAGTCTAGACCAAAACCCATTCGCTGCAGCGAGCAATTCTTCCTTTGTAGGGCGATGCAAGTGTGGCATGTGCGGTAAACGGTCGATTAAGTGGCGGTTGGATTGCAGCCTTTTGTGCACCTCGTTGGCTTGCAAGACATCGTCTTTGTCGTGTCTGGGAATGTGATGGGGTGTATGAGTATCACGACTTGTTCGACACTGATCTGTCTTGGACTTGACCTGGTAACTTTCGTCGCCTTGTCTGTGAAATCTGCGCTTCGACGCGTTGTGAAAGAATATCATAAGTGATCTTCGATCAAGGTGATAAAGTAATTTCTCGGAAGATATAGTACAAGTTGCGCGGGTCTCGACTGCAGTTGAACTCGAGGAAGCTCCAAGCACAAGGAAACCTCCCGAAGCAAGACGCCTCGTGGCCTTGTTCGGTACCTGTGACGGTAGATATGGGTTCTTTGCGAGTGGGCATTTTGAAAAAAGCCTGGAAGAGAGGTTGCCCGGGTTCAATGATGTGCGACTGGCCTGCGATCCATGCCCGAGAAGTGGATTCAGAATGGCGTACAGCCTGCGTGCGAAATGGCCAGACATGATTTCATTCCTCACATAATGGATGTAGGATCTTATGCTGATGGCGCAAATCGGCGATCAGTAATTGACGTGAGAAGCGTCAAGCGAAATGAGTATGTACACAGCAATCTGCAATGACAGGAAATTGGTTATTGATTCTTTGATACGATCCTCGGGAGCACTAGTAACACTGGTAGGATACGGAGACACCAGAGGTCGGGTATCATGCATATTCTCATTTATGCAATTACATTCCCAGCATAGCGGATGACAAATTAGCTACATGTGACATACTATGCTGTAAGATATACTGACTGATACTGCCAAGGCTGGTATGGCACCGAGTCCTGTTTCCCCCAAATTTTCTTCGGTCATATCACACATAAAAATTGAATCAATCGTCCCACTCTCTGTTTAGACGAACAAGAATCGAAATGCCGGCACCCACTGCTATCAGGCAACCTGCCGCCGTCCCAGCGGCGCCATTTGGGCATCCGGCAGGCAAGTCGCTTTCGCTGGACTATTGTTAGTCCCTCAGGCTAACAAATTTTCTAGACCAAGAAGAGGAGATCTTGATCGATGCCCAGCCCTCAAAAGATCAGGCTGCACCGGCGCTAAACCTCGCATCCAACGCTGTTCATGATGCCGGTGTGCACATCGACGAAGAAGGACGGCCTCTTTTTACGCCAGCGAAAGACATCAACCGGGTGTATCGTGTCGAAACTCGAAAAGTCCCTGTTCCGCCGCATAGGATGACCCCATTGAAAGCTAGCTGGTCACGAGTTTACCCCCCGCTTGTGGAACATCTCAAATTACAAGTGAGAATGAACATCAAGAATCGAGCAGTCGAACTTCGCACATCCCGTTTCACCACCGATACGGAGGCTCTACAAAAAGGCGAAGACTTCGTCAAAGCCTTCACGTTGGGGTTCGATGTCGACGATGCTATTGCACTCTTGAGGTTAGACGATCTATATATCCGGTCCTTTGAAATCCGCGACATCAAAACACTTAATGGAGAGCATCTGAGCCGTGCAATTGGACGCTGCGCCGGCAAAGACGGTCGAACAAAATTCGCAATTGAAAATGCCACCCGCACAAGAATCGTCATTGCAGACCAGAAGATTCACCTTCTTGGCGGCATCAAGAATGTCGAGGCCGCCCAGCAGGCTATTGTCAATTTGATCATGGGTAGTCCGCCAGTAAGTACTCGGATCTTTAAATTACGCAGCGACTGCTGATTTTGAATAAGGGCAAAGTATACGGCAACCTACGTAAAGTGGCTTCACGAATGAAGGAGCGCTTCTAATTCATCACAATTGTCTTGCACAACATGCAGTCTTATTTCCGCCCTAGGACATGGTTTTGGCGTTACGGAAAAGGTTACATCTGATTTAACAAAATCCAACGAGACGATGACACAGCATAGAATTGAGGATAGCCTCTGCTCAGTAATAAAACCAATACCCGGAATATTGTCCACTTTGCTCTCTTTCGTAAATCATACCAGGCCAGGGAAATAGGCTTGCGTCTAGTCCTTCTTCAGAGGATAATAGATTTCCTCTATACCTGCGCTGGTAACCACCAACATCTGTAGACCATCCCCGACTTCGATGTGCCTTTCGACGGCACTCGTAAAGGCATCGCGGACAAGCTGTTCAACTGTCTTTCTTGCCAATGGTTCGGCTTTCTTAGGCTCCAGAGCATGACCTTCACCGCTGCCAGGGATGTATTGGTTTTTGAAGTTGACTTGGTTGTCCAGAAAGGGCATGATCAAGCTCGCTGCGGACCCAGCTGCTCTGCATTGTTCTCTTTCGTACGAGCCAACTGGATCGTAGCTGTACAATGCACCTCTGCCATCTTCATCCAAGCCTGCTAAGATCGCATGCACATAGTAGGGAAAAAACCGCTTCTGATATAATATCGTCGATAGGCGCTGAGCACACGCTCCAACGGACATAGACTTCCCATGCTGATACTTGTACATCTTGACCACAGCATCGAGTCGTTCTTTGAGTGCTTGGCCATCCGCTGCAAAGCCAACAACCGAAAGAATAATGTGAGCACCCTCACCAGTTTCATCATCACCTCCAATTTTGAAGACCTTAGGCACGTAGCGAGAATTGATGTTGTAGCCTGCAACGGAGCGAGTGTCACCAGCAAGGATCGCAAAGTCGGACCCACTGATGCCTAATGTCGAACCGCCATTGTCGGTGTACCTAGCCCTATGTCAGCACCCCTATGATAAATAGTCTGCAATAGACATCCATACGGGTAGAATGAATGCTCTTTGTTGGGAACGCTAGTTGTCTGAGTGAAGGAGTATCCGATGGCCTCACTCTGAGGTTGATTGAGCAAAGTCGCCATTGCTCGCAAAGAACAAGTGAGATCAAAGGAACTTAAAATGAAGTAGGACCGAAGTGGTTGTTATGTGCGATAAATAGATTATGCAGTCCTTTGGCACTTTTATAATCAAGACAAGTGGTAACTAGGCTCAGGTAGAAGCTTAATGGAATGGTGGAGCTTGGAAACTGCTGACGCGATTGAGCTGCCTTGTGCTTATCTAATAAATGTATTGTCCGGCCACTCTCCGCGTCAGTCTCGTGAGATACATCGACTGACGTATTTTGACCCTTCCAGTTACTTTTATGTTTAATTGTGTCCTTGCACGATACTCCCGGTCTCGGCCAACGGCCCAAAATTCAGGAATAGGCACCATCGGCATAGTAGGAGAGTGGTAGTATCCTGTGAAAACATGCTGGGGCTTGCAGCCTATGAAAGCAGTAGCGAAGATGACGCTGGGCCCAATCCAGTTTCTCTCCAAACCAAGGTGAAGAAGAGAAAGTGTGCCCTCAGACTAGAGCTTTGACTGATTTTTCGTGTTAACTAGCAAGGTAAAAAAGAACATGCCACTCGGGCCTTACAGGTACCAGCGAATCCAGGTGACTATCATTTCCATTCTTCTAGAATTACCCCCAAGTCTAACAAACATGCTTGAAGCAGCCTCTAGGAAAGATATAGGATCAGAGCATGACTCCATGCAGCTCTCTGACAGACCTTTATTTGGCCCATTACATGAGAATCCTCATCATGAACAAGAAGACTCGCCAAATGATGATGAGGCTCTGTCAGCATCCCGTACAATAATCCATGACTTGACCCTCCCTCCAGTCCCGAACTTAGATATACCCCCATCACCTCCCGGCTCGCCTGACCCCTCTGCAGATGCGAAATTTGCCCATTTCTTGTCCTTGAAGAAGCAAGGTGTCCATTTCAACGAGAAGCTCTCGGGCTCCGTGTCTTTGAAAAATCCGGGTTTGTTGAAGGCGATGATGACTCATGCAGGGATTGACGATGGCACACAATATTATACTTCCCTACCACCAGCAATATGGGATGCACCGACCTTACCAAGCTGGGGATTTACGGAAAAGCTGCGCCAGACACAATGCGAGTTTCAAAGAACGGTGGAGGGAAGAATGTTAGCAGGGCAACGAGAAAGGATCCCATTTGTGGCTGCGTCTTCTTCCGCCTCATAGCGCAGGTCACATCCCCCCTATTCAAACAAGGACAGAACTTGTAGCGTTTCCACCGCTGTAATCCTGCAGCGTGGTCAGAGAATGAGAAGATTTGAGAATACGGTTTACTTGAGTTCTCACCAGCCTTTTCTAATGATTGACTCTGTGAAAAAGAGTCTCTTTGTACTCTCAATTTCCAGGAGACTGAAATGAGATCTCGAGTAGTAGCCTCTCACGTCGTCACTAGTCAGTACCTTACATGATCACTGCTAGGATGCAAAACTAAGTAGCAAGGATGGCTGTCCAAGGACTGGGACATTATAGTACTTCCTCAGGTTTGCTAGAGTCCTCCATGCTGACGTCTCCGCCGTCGTACCACACTGACTAGTATAGCTGGCAATATCACTGCTGTATAAACCCCCATTGTATTCGATATCACCGTAGGACCTGAACTTTGTAATGATTTCGCCTTCTTTGGATCTATCTGCTACAATTAGCGACTTATAGCGACTTATGGTCAATATGTCACAGGTATCGCTTGGCTTTCGCCCACCAAATTCCTAAAGATCTTAACGTTTATCCTCACTATATACGAAACGAAATAGTTGCTGTCCTGGGATCTGCTTTTCTCAGAACACCGATGTGCAAAGTTCCAATCGCGGGACCTCTCGAGCTGTCTGAACCGGAATCGAAAATTGATAGGTTTGTATGACTGGAAGTGTTTCCTATCTCCGTCACGAAAATCCTTACTGCAGGTATAAGATATGTCAGAAGCCAACAACACCATAGGCGTCGCGACTCGGGCAATGCTCCACCGCTACTGATTTCCCCACTGGCTGGTATTACTGCTTCGTTTGACTGGTGAGTGAAAGCAGCTGGAGGAAGTAATAGATTGCCATAGTTCAAGCCCAGTTAGTCTATCGCTGAGTTGATTGCTTCAGTACGTCTCTCAAGGGTCGTATGACGTAGTGATACAACCTGGGAGTGTTCTTGCCGAGAGGAGTCGACCAAGGAAAAATTAATGATGATCCAGTATCGAGTGCATTTTCTTCCAGGTGTAATATGCTGAGCAGGATCAACCTAACCAAGGACCAGCGTTAATTAGATGCTCAGTGCAAGAAGGTGCTGTTTCATAGCTAGAAATGCGCCTGGAGTGGTAATTGATGCGTTGATCCGTTAGTTGACTGGCATTCGCTATTCCTAACCTCTAGCTCACCGCCTTAGGTAGCAACAGCCGCGCAACCTACCAAGAGCATCATCACCTTCATCCGAATTACAGCTTTCATCTTCACATCTTCAATCTTCAACATTCCTCTCTTCAACTAATCTCTCGCTCGCTTCTACCTCTGTTGATCCTTTATACTCACGATGAATCATTTCCCTGAAGCTTGGGGCCGGGTAAGTGCATTTACAGCCCGCGGTGTCCTGACGATGCTAACCAGTTCTAAAGCCCCGAGACGATGTCTATGGCCCCTACAATTCTTCATACCTACAGACTACCGGTCCGAAGGGGCATACCCAGTCACCAGCAGTAACAGGTACTACAGTGCTAGGAGTAAAATTCAACGGCGGAGTCGTTTTAGCTGCCGATTCGCTAGGTATAGCCAGTGCTGAAGGCGAGGAAGCCAGTTCGCTAACCTGTTTCTCTGAACGTAGCTTCATACGGATCTCTGGCTCGGTTTACTGACGTCAAACGCCTCCGCAAGTTTGGTGATACTGCTGTTGTAGGGTTCAGCGGGGATATATCCGACATGCAGTACATTGATCGTTTACTGGATTCCATCGATGTCAGAGAAAACTACTCGGCCAACGGCAACACACTCAATGCCAGAAACATCCATACCTACTTGTCTAAGGTACTTTACAAGCGACGTTCTGAGTTTAACCCCCTCTGGAATCACATTCTAGTTGCTGGGTTCGATGATGATAAGAAGCCTTTCCTCAGTTCTGCGGATCTACTAGGAACCACGTTCTCCGCACCACATCTGGCAACTGGCTTCGGTGCTCACTTGGCTATCCCAATCCTCCGCCGGCTATTTCCTGAAGAAAAACCCCTCGAGGATATTAGCAAGGATGAGGCTGTGGCGGCACTTCGAGAGTGCGTTAAGGTTCTCTGGTACCGCGACGCGCGAAGTCTTGACCAGTACTCCATAGCAGTCATATCAGCCCAAGGGATTGAATTCCAGGAGGACCAGCAGGTTGAGGCTCAGAGCTGGGCATTTGCCGAAACCATCAAAGGATACGGGGCTCAGGTCAACTAGCTTTCTTGTTCGTTCATAGTGCATAAACTCATTTCCAGAGTGTACTACGATTTGCGTTCATATGCATAAGAGGGGCCGCTAAGGGTTTATACGCTGAAGTAAATGAAGTAATACAAGAAGCAAGTGCTCTACCGCAAGCCTCTATAGCATTCATGTCATGAACCGCCTCAGAGCTTAGATGGCTTGTCTGGCACTATCTTAACCTTGTTCCGGCAGGTGCCGACATCAGGAGCGAGGGTGACCTCAACCAGATCACCATCTTTTAGCCACAACGCAGGTTTCCGACCCATACCAACACCCTGGGGGCTGTACATGACAGATCATGTTAGCAAAGAGAGCCTGACGTCAATTGTCCGGACATCAGGCAGAACGAAAGTAAATATAATGGTGTCCGCTTAACAAGATTTGACTTACGTTCCCGTGAAGATCAAATCACCCGGTAGCAGAGTAGTACCCTGGGATAGGAATGAGATAATTTTCGCCACGCCGAATATCATATCCTCAGTGGAAGAAGATTGGACAGTTTGGCCATTGAGTTTTGTCGAAATGTGTAGATTGTTAGGATCGGAGATAATCCGCGGTGAAACAATTCCGGGTCCAAATGGCGCCCAGCCGTCGAAGCCCTTGCCCAGCCCCCATTGACCTCCACCAAGTTTGAGTTGCCAGTCCCGGTGAGAGACATCATTTCCTACAGCATAACCAAGAACACAATCTAGAGCCTGCCGCTCAGGAACGTCTTTTGCTTCCTTGCCAATGACAACGACCAATTCACATTCGTAGTCCAAGCCTTCTCCGCGCTGAGCCATGGCTGGAACCAGGATATCGTCAGTCGGCCCGGCGATTGACGTAACAGGCTTGTAGAAGAGGACCGGGTATTTCGGTAAAGGCAAGTTTGATTCTTTTGCATGTTGCTCATAATTCAGACCCAAGCAGCGAACAGTACCTATGTCCTTCCTCGCCAAAGGGGCCAGCAGCACGCTCACCTCAGCGATCTGGTCCGTGACATGATGCTTGCCAAAGATATCACCTTCAATAACTCGTGCTTTCGTAGTCTTGGAGACATCTTTTACACCGACGGGCATGAGAGCTTCGCCATAGTATATGTTGCCATCCTTGGCTAAGAAGCGAATGAGGCGCTGGGTAGAATGGTTAGCTCGGTGGTGTCCAAGACGTAGTTGTTGAGTTACTGTTTCATATGCAGTATGGTGCGACACTGAGTACCATGGACTTACAGAGAATGAAGCCATTAGAGTAAAGATTCTTTCTAGTGATTCAGGAATTAAAAAAGAATCATTATGAACGTGTTGCTCGAGTGAATATAAAGATTGTGTAACGCGGGGTAAGATGCGGAGGGAATGTAAGTCTCGGCCGAGAAGGAGTGGAGGGAGGGAGCAAGTTCGGAAAAATGTTAACTAGTTAACTAACTTAGTTACTGTACGGAGTAAGTGACTAAGTGGAAAGCTGAGCTGCTGGCCTCAGCGTCCTTATCGCATCTAAATTCCGAGGATAGATCCTTCACAGCCAGCATTGCTCCACAATTCATGAACCTTTTCCCACAGAACATAATCCAGCACAAGGAGCCTCATTAGACTCAATGGCGCGGCTGTCAGGACTTCAACGAGAGGTCTTATCCCTTTATCGCAGATGCCTGAGAGAAATCCGCAAGAAGCCCATTGTAAGTTAGTGTGAATCTTGATTGCAAGAACAACAAGAGACTTGGCAGAGAGATTGGCTGATTCGTTGAACCCTCTCGGTCTCAGGAGACCCGACAAAAATTTAAGATATATGCAAGGTACATGGAGACGTAACTATGTTCACCGTATAATGCTGATCTCTAGACATAGGACCGAGTTTCAGAGGCATGTGGAAATGAGCAAAAAGGACTTCAATGCGATCGAATACTTGCTACGCAAAGGGCATCGGCAACTCGAGACCTACTCTTCACCGGAAATTCGCAACATACGCTAACTCACGCGACGTTGCTTGTATATGGTGTGGACAAAATGCACACACCTCATCCGATTTTGTTAGATCCAGGAGCATATGCAAAAACAGTGCTAGTTAGCTGAGTCAAGTGACTACTAGTCAACTAGGGTCGAGTGCCCTGATTACGTCATTTTAAACTGGTTCCCTCTTAAGTCAAACCGCCTCCCGAAGCCCGTGGAACCATCCAGAGGGCCCTAGAATATGAGCTTGGTCAATCTTGAAGATTGTACCAGAATGACCGGGTTGCTTCTATCAATACTCAGCTTTACAGCCACACGATAGCATCTGGAATATAAGTAGCACGATGAATAAGGCTTTCTTCCCATTGAAATCCCTCAAGTCCCGCAACAAGAGTTAAATCTACTATCCCCTCGTTCTTCGTTGATATTCCTTTTTCACGACGCCTCAACTCATATACCAACTTTTACTCACCATGGCTCACTTTCCTCGGCTTAGCAATGATATATTTCCGCTATTCCAGTTCCTTGATGATTACGACTGTCATCGCTCGAATCGCGCAAAGCCAGCACTGACAAAGAGAGCCTTGTCGCTGAAGTCTGATGTTTTCGAAACAAGTGACGCTTTCCATCTGTCCGCAGAAGTACCAGGTGTTGAATCTCACGATCTTCAAGTCGAATTCTTGGATTCGAATACACTGGTAATCAAAGGCCATTTCAAAAGACATTCGGGTCAAACCTCCGAAGAAGTACAAGCACAATTCGCCGGATCTTCCAAGTCTCACTATCAGCCTACCGTGGAGGATGCCATTGAGGCGGATGACGATGCAACGTCTGATTCTCTTGGGAACTCCTTGAAAAAGCAGCTAGTGACGCCCAAGAAGCCCGAACTTGCCTGCAAATACTTGGTATCCGAGCGGTTGACAGGCGAATTTCACCGGGTTTTTACCTTCCCAGCTAGAGTGCACCAGGATGCAGTCAAAGCAAATCTGAGAAATGGCATCTTGTCACTATTGTTACCGAAGGAGCCCGCCCCTAAAATGAAGAAAATTCGCATCGAATAAACAGACGATCAGCTTGGGATTGAAATTGGACTGTGTGGTAATGTCGATAAGATGATAAGACGGGGATGTCCTTGGAACGGTCAGTGCGGACACAAAGCCTTTGATTTTTTTTTGCATGGTAGGGAGTTGGGTCTTAGACGAGACATCCTTGTCTTTTAGGGAAAGGTTGATTTTATTGTGTTCATTATGCTAGGCATGTACCTTTCTAATACTAATGATTGGCTTTGGTATTTTTGGATGACAGGGATTTTCCTTCTTTCCACATGTAAAACAACAGGAGATTTCCCAGGCGTCTTATCCCACTGAAATACTATGAGGGCGCGAATAGTGGGTGAAAAGCTAGTGTACGATTGTGTCCGAGTCATTGAGTCTATATATCCATGTGAAGGGAATGCGCAGGGGAAGCTAAATAATCAATGAACGACGTGAGAGCGAAGACTGGCCGGCAAAAGATAAGTAAACTGGTTCAGTCGCTAGTCTCTAAAATTTAGAGAGTAAGTATAACGCCATGTGGTATATGTAACAAGCGGTGACCGAATCAGAAGCCCACCCGAACGAAAGGAAATGGTATCATAACAAGAATCGAGAATAGGAGGCGCAAGACAAAGCCAAATGTAAATTTGTGTAGGACAACGGACTGGGTGAATGGAGAATTATGAGCGGGGCATAGAGATAATAGACATGTTCAAACAAGAGAGGGAATATGTTTACCGGGGTAGAATGATGCAGTCAAGCAGAAGTATAAACGGAGGCGACATCCTGGAAGTGTAGGCGTTATGCACGCCTGGTTTATTGGCTCCCCTTATGCTCGATGGTTCGGCTTCAAATCCGGGACCGCGAAGACCCTAGGATTATAGGCGTTGATCTCTCTGCATACGGTTTCAACTCTTCTTCTGCGACTGACAGGCGACGTGTACCAGTGGCCGAAATGGGTAACCAGGAATCGCTGTGCACGCTGCTTCTGCTACTGCTGCTGGCGCCGCTTTGAGTTCCACAATCGCTTGTTGTGCCGACCTGAGAAGTTGATGTAGAGCCATCTTCGGACAATGATGGGCATGACCTGACACTTGGACAATGCAGGTTGCTGACCGCGAGCCCGCCAGGCAGGCGCAGGGCGAAGTAAGAATCAGTTCCTGGATGAGACACAGGCTCCTTGTGGTTGTTCAGAAAAGGGTCATGGACATTGACACTGCTTGCGCCGGACTCGAAATAAGGGGCCCTGTACACACCCCGATTGGATATACCAACCAATGATCGTAATGTAGCCGTATTGCTTCGCTGTGTTGAGGCAGGCACACAATCCAAATTGGCAGAGACGCCTTCACGGCTTCGCAGCTGGCCACAGTATTGTGGATTTGAGACCAAAGTATGAGAATCTCGTAAGATTGAAAGTGATGTGCTTCTGAAGCGCCCAAGATGACGTTGCTGTTGTGTCTCGTGACACATAGAAGACATCAAAGCTGGCCGATTAGGAGCCTCGAGTCCGTGGCGACTGCTAGAAACTCGAAGACTCAATTGTCGATGCATACGAAGCTTCTTTCCCGAATCCGAGAGTTCTAGGCGGGTCAAGGGTTGGACGTTACCCACCACATCACCACGTCTTGGACTTAACCGTCTAAAATCAGACGTCGCAAGCACTCGCGAAGGGGACCATTTCCCAGCTTGATCATTGTGAGAGCAACGAACAGAAGTAATGAGATTATGCCCGCCATCAGTTATCTGGTGGGGAGACCGAGGCCTCCCATACCTAGTCCCCTTCAAGCAACCCTGTGGTGGGAAAGCACGGGCTCTATCATTGTGAGAAACAGGGACTTCAGCATCCGGTGCAGAGATACCCAATTCCAAAGGTTGCGAAATAGTGGGTGATTTCTCAAAAGAGAACGGGCTTGCCGGGAGATCTTCGTTCTGTGGATAATAGGCACTACTCGGAATCTGTAAGGGGAATGTGGTGGGTCTGCATCCGGAGAGACTTGATGGGTACGCCTGGGTGGCTGCTATCTCGTCCCTAGTAAGCTGTACACAGGGTTTCGGGACGGTAAGTTCATTCGAATTGTCCACAGCTCTTTGAGTTGACGGGAGAGATTGCTTATCGTTAAAAGTAGCTTCAGGCGTCACGCGTCGCCTGTCTTGCCGCTCGAAGTGAACTGACTCCGCCTCAGATATACAATCTGAAAGCATGCCCGGATCCGTACTTCCTGGGCATTTGTGCCTAGCCCTATCACTGGGGCATGGAGATGCGGAGCCGTTCACAACGCGCAACGATCCTAATTTTAGTGCTCCCAGGTGGGTGTATTCTATTTCATTCGGCGTCGGAGGACGCAATCGATCCAATGGCATGGTAGGTTGTCTGGGCGTGTGCTCTTCAGTATAATCTTCAGTATCAGGTATACATCCTTGGCGCGCCGTATGTGGTACACCCGTGTGATTGTTCGGTTGTTCTCTTTCCGGACCCACTCTCGGGGTGTGTCTCCGAGTCAACTCTTTCGTCGATCGTCTTGTCGCAACCCCAGGTCGCGTCAAGAGGGACCTCCGGCGAATCAAAGAGAACCCTTGGTTGTCGACCATGAAATGCGTGTTAGAGGACTTTGCCTCCTCGATCGTACTGCGGCTGATCGCACTGTGCGTCCTATGGGATGGGGAATGGGCGGAATAGGACCGTCTGAGGTGCTGGTCTAGGGGAGATTGCGGAGGACCTCGAAACGTTGCAGACCGAAAGGTGCCTTGTCTGGGGGCCTGGAGAGAAGCTCGTTGACTCATGGTAGAGGACCCACGAGTGGAGACAGCGGGCGAACGCAGGACCGAGCCTCGTGGCTCATTGACTATGGACTGGCATTTTCGGGTTGCATATACCGGGGCCCACGGTGTCCCAGGGTGAGAAGTCGCGGAAGGCAGAGAGTGTGATCTTCGCCCGCTTGATCCCGGATTATACGTGTTGACGGGAATCGATGCGCCTGTCCATGGATTTTGCCAAGCAGCTGCGGGTTGCAAGCACATTGACGAACTTTCAGCTGAGAGTTGATGCTGTTGCGAGGCAGAGTAGGTGGAGACGGGAGATTCCACTGTTGCCTGTTTTGGGGGTGGCTTTGACAAGCGGTTGGAACGGCGTTGGCGCTTGTCCTTACTCTGGTGGTGGACTGACACTGACAGGAAGCTTCCCATTTCCAGCAGTAGAAGATTCGTAACTTGATGCCTCACAGGCCGAGGCGCACTTCCAAATCAACGACACCAGCACAGACACATAAGCTGGTCCACAGGGACGACCACGAGGTTCTATGAGCACAGAACGTCGTCTGCCAGGCTTGACGTAGGCTCCTCGTAAGACACCACCTGCCTGGGTGTTTGGATAAGGTCTTTCGCGTTGATTGCACACCATGAAAGAGCCGCCAGAGGCGTGAGGAGGAACAAAGGGAAGAGCCGAAACTGGTATGGGTATAATTATCGTCGCTCACGTGCGCAATATTGACGTTAGATTCGACAAGGAGATCGTTATATGGTCCCAGCAGCATATACAGGCGGCGTGGATAGCGAGCGCACGGAGTGTCGTCGTAATCGCGAACGAGGTGATATGTTCCTGCTATACCATCGCCTTAAGCTTCTCTTTTGGTTCTGTACAGATTGCGGAAATCAAAGCTACCGAGATTGGCACAGTAGATCTGCGATCGAGAAAAGGCGATTGGTTGGGTATAAGAATAAATGTTGCCTTTTCCCTTCCCCTGGCCGTTCGGAATACCGCAGGGGCGAGGGCAGCCAGAACCGTATCCAAATTAAGAGGTAATTTAGCGAAAGAGAGCAAACACAGCCAGAATCGAAGATGAAGTTAACTGTCGTTCGATTAAGGGAAACAGAACAACCATTAGAGCCTCCAGAACCCTGACGAGATTGTTGCAGAGTCAAATTGCTAGGGAAGGGGAGGGAGGAGGGGGTGTGGAGGGGAAATTGAGGGTTGAGGGAGCGAGGAGATAAATCAGATCCAGACCAACAAACAGGCTACTAGTACTCCGTACGTGCTCAAATAGATTCAAGAACTGGAATCTAAGGTAGATAAGCAAGGGAAATGAGAATACATGAGAAGAGGTGGGGCTCCACTGGTGCTGCCATGGTTCAGTGGATGCGCACAACCAGACACAACAGCCGTAAGTTAATGACCATGGTAGACGGATGCGTATTGGAGACGGACTGCTGCTGGACGGACGGATCGACAGCTTGCAGACGGGTTTGACGGTCGGGACCCAAACCAGCTTCGAGACGACACTGGAACCGCCAACTATGACTAACCTACCAACTATCTTCAGTCAGCCTTTGAATCCCGGCTGCTCCTGATTGATATTATGTTATCTGGGGGAATGGAAAGATGATCAAAATGTCGATCTGAACCAGCGGTATTCAGTCATCAAGTATAGGAATACTTACCTAGAATCTACTCTGTAGTCCGTACAAGAAGGCCCCTGGGGATCCTTGACTTGCGGCAACCGAAGCCCATAGGAAAGTGGACCTATTTTCTGTAAACTCGAATGGAGGAATGGCTGGCGGGCTTCAACCATTTCTGAATGCGGACAAAAGAAAGTGGTAGGTACCTACGGAGTATGTATTGGGTAGTTAAGAGTAGGTAACTACGTACCTCTAACTAGTAGGTAGTACGGAGTAACTTACCATGTACGTGCGTCTCCGTGGAGTACTGTATTAGCTGGGTACGGTACGGAAGTCAGTCAACCCACTAAACTGCTACCTTCTAACTAGTTACTCTTATTTGCAGGCTTTAAGGTACTACCCTGAAATTTATCTAGGGAATCCGGATCGTCAGGACCAGAACACGGAGCTGGATTTAGGGCCAACAGTGGATCGTTACAGGGGAGAAAAGCTTGATGGCTGACAGCGATGGCGCGTATGATTGGTTCCATCTTTCGCTCCTCCCTGGCTGCATTCAGACGATGGTGGAACCCCGGGCTTGTCCGGACGATGACTTCTTCAAAATATCCTGACAATTACATTGTTCAGCGGTGAGAGAGGAATAGGGTGTTTCATTGCTTGTCCTGTCATGTTGAATAATTATCTGTGTTTGTACTAACTCAGTAACATGACGCTACCTAGTGCTGATCATTTTTGCTATTGCGCTTAGCCATTAATCGACTCTTGTCAAGCAATGGATGTATGGATATATACTGGTACATACGGGTACCATACTATGCATCATAATCTCACTAGTGTCTACTCCGTACACAGTCGCCGTATATACAGAAAACAGCACAATTTGATCGTACGTAATTCCCAATGCCTACTCGTCTTTCCTCCTTTTCCCAGATAACTTTTCATCCTGAGAGATCAAACCAGATGGAGCACATCGTATAGGTACCACCCTAGCCTGACTCGCAACGGAGGTTCTGGTGCCATGGCCCATACTAGGTAGTAACTAACGTAGTCTAGCTAGAATTAGTAAAGTACTATTAGTAACTACTACCACCTCAGTTAGTTCTCGGATGGAGCCTTGAGTATTCCACCACTGCACGTCTCAAAACCCCTTCCCCCCGGCCTCCCTTACCGCTTTAGAAGCTTGAGAGCTTGCTTCCTCCATCCTCTCCCGAAAGCGGCATCCACAGGTTTGTTGAACTTGAGATCTTGTGCATCTTAGAGTTGTCTGCGGCCCCGATTCTATCGGTCAATAGTCAGATTACACCGCGTTCTTACCTGTCGCATGGCGCCTTCAACTACCCGCCAGCAGCCAGTCTTGGCAAGCTTCCCATTCCTCACGGTCGAAGAGTTCGACTCTGCCTGTTGTCAATTTTGCGATCGTGTTCAAGTGCTGGAGGACTCGCTGAATGTCCACTTCACTCGACGGGTTAGTTCCTGATGGCTGTCTCTACCGACTGTGTACCACGAAAGATACCCGTTCCATCACTTTCATGGAGCGGATGATGGGGGCAGGAGCGGGGGATTTTAACATCTGACCTTTTCAGCCTTCCACATATGGAATTTACGTGCTTTCGACATAAATCGATGTATCAGCTTGAGCTAATTCTTTAGGCAGTTGGGCCGATTCTAAGCATAAGACGGCGCATCGCTGACGTTAGTGTTTCCGCATACGATGTGCTCTGCTTGGCAGACGAATCGATTCGAGAATGGCATGTAGGAGCTTACGAAGATGACCCCGTCAGTAAAACAGCCCATACTATTGTTTGAATCCATACAGAACGACATCTAATGTACTATCAACAGGAAGCTCTCATCCATATACCTGAGTCCAGCGTCGACTTAGATGTGATTTATGACGTCCATCTTTCGCCCATATATCACGTGCCCGTTCTGTATTTCACTTTACGACCCACCGGTCATCCCGGACAGTTGGGGATCGACGCGGTTTACCAATATTTGGTACCGAATCAGTACAGGAAGGAACTCCAAAGCGTGGGAGTCATGGGTGGGATTAGCTTGGGTGTATGTGCAAGTACTCAGAATCCTAGCTCGAGCCACAGCTTATAATTTGTAGTATCATCCAGAAACTGGATCTCCAACATTCGTTGTCCACCCGTGCAACACTGCAGATGCTATGAGGCAAATCGCAGGACACCAGCGTGTCACGCCTGAGACATACCTCATCCTTTGGCTCGGACTGGTCGGAAATCATTTAGGTCTTCAACTGCCAATGGAATTATTCGCGGCAGATGAGATGGAGCGGATTCCGAGGTCTTGATTCGCATTTTCGGCTTGTAGGGAAATTCCAAGCTGACATGCTGGAACCTCGCTGAATAGGACCCGGGCCTGCGTATGCATCGGCGAACTGATTTGGGACCTAGTCTTCGTCGGAGGAGGCTTCCATTGGGACATCGCTATCTTCGTCCATTGGGGCATCTTCTTCGTCGCTTTCGTCCTCACGAGGTCGTTTCACACCGTGAGCTGTCTGGTCCTCTCCATTGATTTCGCCATTGGGTCTCGGCGGTAGTGTTACTGATCCAGGAGGGCCGCTGAAGATCGATTTTTGTAGCTCAGTAGATGCTGCTCCTGGCTGTCCACTGAAGACAGTATTTGACATGTTGTATGTTCCGCGAAGCCTAGCGATAACGTCTGAGGTGCCTTTGGCATACACAAGCTTCTGTATTGGTTTCATTGTTAGTAACAGTCATCGACCTTGGAGTATAGGCTTTACCATATGTTTGCCAAAAAACTCGAACCCCTGGAGAGCGCGCATGGCTTGCGTACTAGCGTGGACATCCTTGAACACGATATGGGCCTGGCCACGCATTTTTTTGGTTTTCATCGCGACAACATCTAAGACAGTGCCGTATGTGGAGAAAAGCATGTAAAGAGAAAGTCGCAAATCATGTTTTCGAAGTTTGTCTGGCAGATTTGTGCAATATAAGCTATAGCCGATCAGCTCTGTGGTCGCGTGTGTAAGCGGCAGGCCATACTCACGTTTGATTAGGCACACTGCTAGAAGACGATTTACTTTGGGCGCCGCTGCGAGCGGGTACAATTCTTGTAGTCATTATAGCTAGAAATGACCCGGGAGAGGAGAATGAGTGGGAGAGTGTTTGGCTGGAGAGAAACTAATTTGCGCATGAGAAGGAGGGGAACAGTTGACTACAGGAAGGATAAAGTCTGCGCGGCCACAAACATTCGAACGACTGAGCGATATAGAGTCATGTGATGCATTATCTAATCAGACCAGAACGTCCGCGTCATTGTCACCCTTAACATCTAATTGACTACTTTGTACGGACTACTTAGCCGGGCAACTCCCCTTCCGCTTTCCAGGTTCCGTTGCTGCTTAGATCCCCATATCAACACTGTTGCTTCGACAGTAGAGAGTTACTCCTGTCAACACTAACATAATGGCTGCTCCCGAAGTTCATCATCTTTTCCATAATCCAATTGCCGACCATTCTTTCTCACCCGACAAATCCACCCTTGCAGTTGCGCGAGACAACAGTGTGGAGCTCTATGAGAAATCAGGCAGCAAGTTCTCACTTAGCGATGAGCTCAAGGGCCATGAAAAGACGGTAACCGGCGTGGACATTGCTCCTAGCAGTGGTCGTATCGTTACTTGCTCACAGGGTATTTCATCTATCATCAACCCTTGTTCTGGTTGGTAGTACTCTAACACCGGATTTCAACACAGATCGGAACGCATACGTTTGGGAGCGCACTTCATCGGGCTGGAAGCCCACTCTCGTACTACTACGCATCAATAGAGCAGCAACATTCGTCAGGTGGTCGCCGTCCGAGCAGAAGTTCGCTGTTGGTTCAGGTGCCCGTGTAATTGCGGTATGCTATTTCGAGGAGGAGAACGACTGGTGGATTTCAAAGCATCTGAAGAAACCCATTCGGAGTACTATCACAGCTCTCGCATGGCATCCCAACTCGGTGCTTTTGGCCGCAGGCTCTACAGATTCTCATGCGAGAGTCCTCTCCAGCTTTATAAAAGGAGTTGACACACGCCCCGAGCCAAGCGCTTGGGGGGAACGTCTGCCTTTTAATACCATCTGCGGCGAGTATCTCAATGATTCCGCTGGCTGGATTCATGGAGTTTCATTTTCCCCAAGCGGAAATGCCCTTGCCTTCACTGGCCATGATAGCAGTATCACTGTCGTCTATCCAAGTGCCCCAGAACAGCCCCCTCGAGCGATGCTGAACGTGACTACTCGTCTACTTCCCTTCAATAGCCTTGTCTGGAATGGAGAAAATGAAATTATCGCTGCCGGACATGTAAGAAGCAACGTAAAATCATGAGAAGCAGACCCCAGTGCTAACTTGCGGATTTAGGACTGTGAACCCTATCGGCTTCGCGGTGATGAGAGTGGATGGCAGCTTGCAGGGACAATCGAAAACAAATCAGGGCATGGTGCCGACACTGCGCGGGAAGAATCGGCTCTACACATGTTCCGTCAGATGGACCTCAAGGGGCAGACTCAGGCTGATATTCAACTCAAGTCAACCCACCAGAATACTATTAGCACTGTGAGGCCGTATGAGGAGACAGATGGTGTTTTGCGCAAGTTCAGTAGTGAGTTTTTCCGCACAGTTCACCTGTCCATTTTGTGTCGTTGCAGGGATTTGGCTAACAAGTCTGCTCACAGCGAGTGGTGTTGATGGCCGTGTGGTTATCTGGACAGTCTAGACAGTCCTGTCTGGCGAACGTGTCTAGGAATGGCTATTGAAGGAGCTGGTGTCATGGCTTGTTATTTCGATGCTTTGCCGTTCAAAGCTATTTCCTGTATTGTTTAGCACAGGTGGCGGTTACTATAGCTGCTGTCCGGTACATAGTTGGACTAAGTCAATAGAGGTTGTGTGTATGGCGTGACTGAAGGCGCGGGGCTTGTGCACAATACGTACAGCATTCTTTAAGGCTTGTATTTTGGTAATGTAAAATACTGTAAGGGGTGTGAAACACCTGGATCCACCTTCATAGTCAATTTCCCCGGATTCTTCGACGTCACGCTTCGTCAGGCTACCGCTCATCACGAGCCACCATACCAAAGACTTGGGCCACGGCGGTCTCCCATGCTGCTTGCTGCATCATGAATAATGAATGACAATGACCTTGAAATCTGAGACAGGACCTTCATCATTGCTATGACTCCAACTCGTCAAAAGTTGTCATATCTTCTTTTCTTTCTGGCCTCTATATCACTTGTCTTGTTGATCCACACAGTCTCCCTTGTTCGGATTGGTGAAATCTCACTAGATGCAGCTCAGCAGGCGATTCCCTATTCGCTTTTTCGCGAGTTGGACCAGCTCGCACGGGTGGTTGACGTCTCATACTGTGTTGGAAATACCGGACTTCGAAGACCCTTCGAGTGTCTCAGTCATTGCGCCGACCTAAAGGGGTTTGAATTAATTTCAGTAGGTGCCAAATCTTTCATACAGCGGACCACAAGGCCCATGCTTAACAGTTGTTCTATTTCTGGAATTGTTGTAGGTATGGAACACAGGACCTTTTCTTTCGGACTCCTGCGGTTATATTGCCCTTTCCCATCCTCCATCACCAAAGCGGATCATCGTTGCTTTTCGAGGCACCTACTCAATCGCGAACACTATAATCGATCTCTCCGCTTATCCACAGAGCTACGTCCCATACGACCCGGGCAACAGCACAGGAGATGACACAGGGATGTTACATTGCGATAACTGCACGGTTCATGCCGGGTTCATGACATCCTGGCATAACACACGCGCCATCGTCCTCAATCATGTTTCCACCGCAAGACTGCAATTTCCTGACTATGATCTGGTTCTAGTGGGTCACTCTCTGGGTGGAGCTGTTGCTGCCCTAGCTGGGGTAGAGATGCAGCTACGTGGCTGGAAACCGACCGTGACGACGTTCGGAGAACCCAAGGTTGGAAATCAGGGGTTTGCCGAATATCTTGCCAAACTGTTCGAATTACCAAGCGAAGCAACGGCTATACCAATCGAGCGCTACAGATTTCACCGGGTCACCCATATCAACGATCCTGTTCCGCTCTTGCCGCTCGCAGAATGGGGCTATGAGATGCACGCAGGTGAGATCTTTATTGCGAAAGCGGAGCTTCCACCATCGGTCTCTGATGTCAAACTCTGCGAGGGTAATGCAGACCAACGTTGTATATCTGGTGGGAATGGTAATTTGAAGATTGCACTTGACAAAACGGCCTCCCTGTCTATACACTCACAAAGTGTCATGGCGCCTACCGTTTCGAAGAAAGAGCAGGTGCTGGCGCGCATATCTCCCTTCAAGAAACCATGCCTGGTATCGCAAGATAATGAACAACTTTTAGATGGAACATGGTCAAAATTCCACTGGCATTTGATTCCATCGCGTTTGCGGTTATGGGAGTTATTCTTCTCTCATCGAGACTACTTCTGGCGGCTGGGGCTTTGTATACCCGGTGGGGACCCGAGTGGAAAGGGTTAGTGACTGATCAATAACATCCGATTCAGGAATCAGTCCCTATGACTCTATTGAGTATGATGTTTCCTCGCGGGACAATCCTAGTGAGGTCGTTTGAAAACCGTCTATATCTGGCGACCTTCTTACCATGTTCTGAAAATGAGTTCTTGGTAGCTATAGCAGGCTAATATTCAACATAAATCTAAAGTTATTCCTGTTGTTTCATCATATGAACGACAAGTACGGTAACTCTACATGCCACCGTCTGGAGGAAAAACCATTCTTCATTTAGTGTATGGCTGGCAGTGGCAATGCTTGCGAGGGTGGCCAAGAGGAAGGTCACCTAATGGCTACTACATGATGCTACTGTTTGCCAAGGCCACCTCATTCGAACTCTAATGTTCCTTGCAGGACCTTTCACATTGTCTAGTTTACAAGGCCAGCATGGAAAGCGATTGTCGCGAGCCGGAAGGACACCAGCAATTTCTCATTGGTGATGTGCCACTCGGTCCCTCGCGGCAGTATTTCATACGGTCCGATCACTATATCAGAGCATGGAGCTAAATTTTGTTTCTGGCTCTATTATCCCACCGCGCGACTGGAAAAACGCTCTTGTCCTAGTATCTCTCGGTGTTGAAATCCCTCTTGTTTCTTATTATAATACTACCACGCTGTTGGCTGGTATCTCGCTTGAAAGCGCGCGATTTAAGGTGATTCACTGATCAATGGGTTCCTGCTAATTAAGCATTTTCAATGTATTCGGAAGTATGTTGAGCTGAATTTGCTTTGCAGCACATCTAGACTGACTTATACGCCATATGCCTAGTAAGGATACTTCGAATCCTTGCTGTTTTCATGCAATGGATTTTTCGAGAGGATACCATGTAAGTAATACCGCATCGCAGATGAAAATTCCACGAAGATGCTAATGTCCATGTATTGAGAACTTGCTTATTACAACGAATCTCCTTGTCTAATTGTTTCGGAACCGTGAGATAGCAGCAAATGAGGAACTGAGAGTATGATATGTCGCTAGTACATAATTTGACTGCTAAATCATAGAAAAAGAAGTTGACCCGATCACATATGCTTCAAGTAGACCGACCACATCAGGAAGTTGAGAATGATCATGCGAAGAAAACCTTCGCATCCAAATCTCTCCACCAAAGTCACGGAACAGAAGCTAGTTTGAGACTAGAATTGAAGGGAGGAGCGATGATAACGAGAGGGGATATAGGCGCGTACTCCAACAATTCACTTTCCTGGCTCCAGGCTAGGGATAATTACTGGCCCATATTTTACTACCGTCCCAAAAGTCCCATCTCCTTGAACCATGAAATCCGCGGCAAGGTTCAGCTTGCTGTTTCCGTGGCTCGAGATACCTTGCCCGTACATTGTGTTCACGGCATCCGGGTCGTACGCAACGATGGCCACATAGTTTCGACGGCCCATCAGCTTGCGATGCTCACGACTTTGTCCGGTCACATCAGACTGAAAAATCTCCATCATATCTTCCTTCGTGTCAGTTGGCTGTGATGGGGTTGAGCGATGCCCATTAGCTGGAATATAAAGCGGTTTGTTATTGCTATGGAGCATTTTCATGATATACGAGGGCGGGGGACTGTTCACAACCGGCGATGAAATTAGCTGGTACATCGTCTTATGATTTGATGGATGAGCTGGATCATGCACCAGTCCAGCACCGCATGCATTCACGGCGCCAGAAAGGAAGGTCATGCGCAAAGACTTCTGATGAGAGATACCTTGAAGGGTACGGATCAGGTAGGTTCGCTCGAGGTCCTGTGCATACCTATTAATGGTCGGTATGAAGCAGTAAAATCGCGCTAACTTACCTTGGATTCATGCGTCCACTGGTCCCGAAGCTCATCCAAAAGATCCAGCTCCCCGAATGGGCTCAGAATACCCCCCATGAGACCGGACTTACCCACAGCGCGCTTGACAGAGTTAAACCCGGAGCCTACCATGTCCTTCGCTCCGACCACACCGGCCACGGAGCTGGTGACTTTCCCAAGAACATTGTATGCTCCAGTCACCGCTCTCTTTCCCGTCGCGACCGTGTGGGCGATATGCTCCGCTGTCTCCAGCCGTGGATAGATGATAGGAACCGAAAGCATCCAGAGGCAGTGCTGCACATTAGGAGGGAGCATAGCCACTTTGGGAAAGATGCCTTGATATGTCGGTCCAGCTATGACCTGATGCGGGTTGCGCTCCGAACGACAATCAAGCCCAACAACGACAACAGCAGGGCCCAAGTATTTCACAAAATGCCACCCTGTACCAGTTATCGTGAACAGATCGGTGTCGGTCCTGACGCTGCGGAGCAGATCAAGGGTGGTATGATGCTGGAAGAGCAAATACATCTCCGTCCCAACTCGGCCTATATTGCTGAACATGTTGGAAAACTGCATGTGCTCCGGGTACGAGCCATATCCGTCAAATCTGGATGGGGTTATCAGTAGCTGCTGGTTGTTCGCGGTGAGGGGAAATAGGCTTACATGTCATGATCGTCAATCTGACAGACATATGGAATTTGCGCGAATGACTCGCGTAAGTAGGGCTGGTCAAAATGACTTGTGTAGTAGTGAAAGTACGCATGTGAAACATCTTCTTCATGGGCTGTGGTCCACGGCGCGTTTTTCCGGGTCTCTTTCCCGCTCATTGCAAGCCACTGCTTTAAACAGGAAACCTCTTTCCACATTCGATCTGCATAAATTTGGCTCCCAAGGCAGAGTTGAACATGGAAGCCACCGATCTCGTTGTGTTTCTGCATTATGTCCTTCCACATGAATCCTATCCCCCCTAGACGGGACCGTTCATTCGCGTTAACATTCATTGAGAAGTCGTTGCCAGATGTAGTGATAAAGCGCCAGCCTGTTTCGTATCGCCCGGCGATCAGAAACTCATACCGTGTGCAGCCCAAGTGGGAGGTGATAGCGTAGGTCCATTTAGCTTGCCCAGTTTCGTCCATCTGTAGATCAATTTCGTACCTGTAGAAGGTCCAGCGCTGGTGAATAGCGATAGGTGTTGCTTTCAACTGACGTGGGTTTGGTGAGAGGTCAATGCTCTGATGAATGTGTATTGTAGGTGGCTGCGCCGCATCGGTAATCAGAAGAATGGAACCCATCCAGATACCTCGCTCCACGTCCATATTGGCGTAGCGAAGATACGGGCCGAAGTAAACGCCATTAGTCGGTGCCACTTTATACAAATCAATTCCATTGCTTGGGAGAGGCCCACTAAAACCTGCCACAATGGGAGATTTCAGGCTTTCATATCCTGGGGTCAGAGGAACTCCAGGAGAGTTCAGGGGTTTACCAAAGGCTGCAAATACCGGCGAAGCCAGAGGATGACTGCTGTACACGCTGCCTACCGGGGACAATGGGGTTTCATTGAGATTTAAAGGTGTTGGCCCTTTGGGAAACTCCCACTGGGTAGATTGGGTGGGCAGATGAATATAGTAATATTGGCCGGAATTCGAATCCAAATGAGCAATCCATCCTTCGGGTAGTGGTGGCGGAGAAGCCGGCGGTATTCCAGAGGACGAAGCTAAGGTACTAATCTGAGCGTGCTGAAGTACGGGATGATGCCCATTCGGGGATGAGGATACCTGTCCGCCCAACCCGGGGGACGTCACCAGCGATTCCTGCCGTTGCAGATCATTTGCAAACGCCGGGTGAACGGAGGTCGTGGGAGCAGAGGCTAGACCAGCACTTCCTGAGGGGCTCGCAGTGGTATTGTGGGTAACTGCAGCGGACGGCTGTTCTATCGATGCTGCGGGCCGCGGTTTTTCAGCTGGATAAGCATGTGAGGTTGCAGGCCCTGATACGCTTGAGTAGGCTGGTGGAGGTGATGAATTGATGCGCATCCGCTCAAGATCATGTTCGAGAGCATTTGAGGGGATTCGGGTCTGCTGTTGAACCGGCCCAGCTTGGTAGGGAGCTTCTCCTGGCTGTCTACTTGGTGAGTGATCCTCCTCTGATACAACCCCTGCCCCTTGATATACTGTAGGCGGTCCATGAGGCTGTGTGCCAGGTTGTTCCGTAGGAGTCCATGGCCGTGGAACTTGAGGTACCGGCTGCCGCCCCCGGGGTTGTTGACCGACATATTGTTCGGCTCTTCTCTGAGCCGCGGCGCTTTGTGCCTGCAAGCCCGCCAAAGTAGAGGTCCCAGCTATTCCAGACGCTGCATACCGAGCCTCGATGTCTGACGCTGGATGTTGTCCAGGCTCTACCACTGGAGTTTCCGGGGGCGGCGGTGAGCCACGTTGAGCACGAGTCGTCGAATTCGAAGCTGTGGAGTTGATCCTGCTAATTGTGCTATTCAGCGGCGGGTTATTTTGTGAGACGGTTGGTCTTGGCGATGCCTGTGGAGGCGGAAAGTAAGGTTGGTGTTGTTGCTCGAGGATAACACGTTGTGAGTATGAGCCGTCACTTGACGCTGCAGGGGCCGGAAATCGAGGATGAATCCTAGCAAATAAGCCTTCCCGTTCTGGGGGTTCGCCGCTTGGAGATTCTGGGAGCGGCTTTGGGACATTCCCTCGCCGCTCAGCGAGAGAGGCTTGTTTGGGTTCGCGGCCATCCCGGGGTCGCAAAGCCGCAGGATACCCCGAAGGCCGCGAGGTGATATGATCAGGGACAGTGGGAGAATCGCAAGAAACTTCTGCTAGGCTGATCGGACTAGAACCACTGGAAACTGACGTCTGGGCGTGTTCGGGTCGCTGTCGGCCGTCTGGATAGGGCAGGATAATCCCGTTCGAGGAGGCCGTGGAAGGAGACTCTCGCTTGCTTATGCGCAGGGGTTCGATGACAGACGATTCCGTCTGCAAGGGCCGTCGTGTGGTGGTGGTGGTGGTGGTCAGAAACAGCTCCTCCTGGGATTGGCTGCCCTGACGGTTCACCCCAGCACTCATAACGAGGAATGAGAAAGGGGTCGGCTTGACTGGACTCAGTAACTGACGACTTTATTGGATATATAGCCAGTTGCGATAATGTGACCGCGGGGGTGCCAAACAAAAAATTAGAATAAAATAAATACAAGAAATTTCCCCCCCCCCTACGACGCGAAGCAAATTTTCACGAGTGTGAGAAATTCGCTGACGGTGAATCGTATAATGATAACGACGGGGGTGTTCGTGGTGGTGTTGGTTGGTGTTGAATAATGACGATGGAGTTGGCTTTAGTTTCAGGCTGGGAAATTAGACTGAGGCAAGCGAAAAAAGATAGAATGAGAACATTCGCAGGAGAAGAGGAGGAGGAGGAGGAGGAGGAAACAGATAAAAGGAGACGAAGCGGGGGAGGAAAAGGCAGCAGGCATAGCAATCTACTCACTTAATTGTATGTATTGCATGCAATGGAGTGAGATAGCCGCCGAGGTGGTGCCCAGCGATCGAATCATTGGCCCCAGCAGACTCGGCGCCGACGATGGAGGGGCAACTGGGCAGCGAATCGATGGTAGTGAAATCCCCCACACGAGAACTATTAAGGTAAGGTAATATAAATAATCATTCAGTTTGGGCTACTCCGCAATGGGGCGTGGAAATCTCCTCACGCTCGAATCAATTGCTTCATAACATCATGATTTACTGGAGCGCTATGGACACTTTCGGGTATATTATACACACACATGATAAACATTGTAGACAGTCATGACAGAGATTACGAGGGTTTGATCGGACGGTCATCCGTGACTAACCAATTGTAGCCCATGCTCGGCTAGTACCTCAACCCAACTGTATCCCAAGGCATGCTCCCCACGGCTTGAATGTTGGATCTGGCGGTCATAGATGACTTGCAGGAGATGGCTCGCTGTTGCTGCATTGGCCCCTGGTTCTATCTCCTCGAGACCAGAAAGCAATTCCAAAGCCAACATCTTGAGACCGCTCGACGCAGAGACTGCTCCCGACAAGAAAAGAGGGAAAATAATAAAAGGCTGGTCGCCCCGACGATCTCGACTCAAAAGCATTGAAGACAACTGAATGATCGTGGCAGCGTGATGGTGAACGATTTCCTCTGACACGGCACTGGGCCCAAGCCATTGTCCAGGGTATACACTTGTAAGGGAAAAGAGGAGACAAGTATGAAAAAGGATGGAGATCTGATGTAGTTTCGAGGGCGTCAGTATGTGGCCTGCGCAATGTAAATGGCAAAGGAACTCGACAAAACTCAACTGACCTGCTGGAGCATATCATGCGACCTCCTTGAAAGGCTAGCCTGATTATGGACCATGTATTGGATCTCATGATGTTCCCAAAGTCTAGTCAAGGCATCGCGAATGTGCTCGACCTCCTGTTCACGCGAATGTAGCCTCGGGTCAAAGAACTGCGATCTTGTCCTTTTACACTCGGCAGAGAGCGACCCAAGGCGAACAGCCAGCATAAAGGTATCATAATATAGTCGCGAAAGTGTGGAAATACCATCATAATCGGCATATAACAGGCTCGATTTATCAAGCCCGACAGTATTCATGAGTGACTTCGGATCGAGGAGCAACTGGTGGTTGAGAACAGCTTGCACGTACTCGCCAGTGCCAGCACCGCTGAAGAGTGCGTAAAGATCCACATTGCAAACCCACCAGACAATAGACGGAAATGCCTCCGCACCAGGAATTGACTGCCGAAGTAAAGAGATATGAAGTAATTGGGAAACATGGTGAGTCCAAAGACTTGAATTGGCAAAATTGCTAGCCATGACCTGTTGTTTTCGAATCAGTAAACCACCAAGTGTGCAACTCGAAGCGATTGTACCAACCTCATATACGAGCAGGAAAAAATGTGAGAAGAAGCTCCCGTCTGATAATAGATCTTCATTGCTCTGGATTCTACTGTGTAGAGTTGAAATTGCATGATGATAGTACTGAGAAGGGTCTAAGTTGTGATGGGTGTTTTGGCGGGCGAGGCTGACTGCGGATACCGCTGCCATTGCATGATAGAGCTGTTTAGCTGGACATTAGCCCATGCTGATCGTGAACACTGCAACTTCAACACGCACCGGAGGAAAACTGGCAGTCTCCTGCTCGAGAAGCTCGGCAGTCAGACCATGGCCACTGCCCGCATCCACACCGATGGCCAATTGCGGACAAACAACACGGCGAAAATGATTCAAAAGTATGAGATCCTGTTGGCCTTGATCAATATGTTCTGAGGCATGTTGCCAACCATGTCCCATTTGATCGGAGACCGGCTCAGGTACTGATACAATAGACAAAACTGAACTGCCTGGGTCGGATTCAGGAGACTGCGAAGGACTTCTGCGGTGAGAGTATTGGAGTCTTCTTGTGTCACGGAACCTGTGCAGAATCACAACATCTGATCCGTGAGCCCATGTGTCGTTCTCGATGTGATCACTTTCAGAAGCGACGGCCGAATTTAGGGATACCGTGGATTGATCCGCATCTCCTATGCCTTCCGTGTACTCCGGCAACTTGGAGAAACTCTCTGGAATAGCAACAACATGATAAGTCCCGGGAATGGATGACTGGGCTTTTCTCTCCCGCTCTTCATCCGAACTCAGCAAGACGAAGGGGGGAAGCATATCGCACGTGAGTGGGACAATCGGCGTGCTTGCCCTGGCTTTTCACGAATTAGCTATCAGAAAGCATTGCGTCGAGCTACAAGCGACTTCATTGAAGTTGCGGGCTTTGGCTGGGGTTTCTCACAATTCCAGACAGCACTGCTATTCAATTTAACGTCCGGCATTCGCTCCATGACTCGGCGGGTATCATCCCGAAAACATAAGCGAGGTCGATAATCACAAATATGGCCTAGGCGAGCACATTGCTATATTGAAAGAAGATCAGTCTAGTACGGGGAGTAATCTATGGGGAGGGTTTGAGTCACATTGCATTGAGGATGAACTTCGTCGCACTTGACTAAGCAGCTGATCAGTAATTTTCCCGCCTGGAAATGATGAGAACGAGAGAAAAATGAAAATGGATCTATATGATGGAGTCCGGTGCAACAGAACGCACCCTCCATTCAGTGAATGGATCGATGTGAGAGAAAGATCACGAAGTGCTACTCACCCTTGCGACTCTACTCCTCAAGAAGCCAACAAGTTAACAGTCAAGGAGCTTCTCAAAAGTTGTAGTAGGGAAGAGGGAACTCACTCTACATGTCCTAAGGCCCAGCGAATCGAATTAGAAGTCTGAAGCAATCATATCAGGCAACCGGCACATACCAGCAACCGGTTCGGGACCGGGGTGGAAAGCGGAGACGATGCTGTCTCGCAGGTACTTTCTTGAGCGCGGGAAGATCGAGCGTGGCGCTCAGGCAAGTGACATTGTCTTTCGGAGCGATAATGGGTAGCCGTAAAGGCCGCTTCCTCGCGGTTTGACCGCGTCGGCTGGACATCACGATGCTGACAACAGTCATTGAGTTGATTGACTCTCTTAAGGAAGCAAGTCAGCTCGGTTCACCAGCCAGCTGAATGCTCAAAGATCGATCTACCTTTCCGCTCCACAATACTCTTACTCGGCAGGAACAGCTGGTAGGCGCTTTCTCGGGACAATAGACTGGAGATAGGTTGATTAACGGCAATGACAGGAGAAAAATGCATGGTCTAGTCAACTAAATGAACAGAGACTGGGGATTAGGGAACAGATGGCCGCCGAGCATCTCTATATGCATTATGCAAAGGAAATCAAACGTATTGAGAGTAGACCGCAAAGCAAGAAGCGAGGGTGGCAAACGATGGGCGGGGCTTGGAGTTTAAAGAGAGGGACTAGTGCGAAGAGAAAGAGGCCAAAAAAAAAAAAAAGAGAAAGAAAGAGAGAGTAAAACGAAAATGACCAGAAGCTGAGAGACTACGATGGAGAAAGAGAGAGCGAAAGAGGGAGAGAGAGATGGGAGAAGGGGGGCGCGGCGGAAGAGGAAGTCCGTACAAACTACAAACTACAAACTACAGCATTGATGCAAAATTATACCAAGAGTTTCCGAATCAGCCAGCCCTGTTGACAGTGGCGGCCCTGAAAACATCAAGCCTGAAGCGAATCAGCAAGGCCAACGCGACCTGCTTTCATCCCCCACCCCGCTCTCCTTCTTCTACCGTCGCCGCTGGCAGTGACCAGCAGCGCGTACTGTGTACAATGGCATGTTCGTCTGTGTGATGGGGATGATGGGATGAAATCATGACTAGGTGGGCTTAGGCTCGTACCTTAGGCGAAAGATTGGCCTGCACCCCCCACCCCTCATCCCCAATGCAGGAGCAACAAACGAGAAAACATTTAGGAGGACCAACCAGAAAAAGACGGGTCCCAAACCGGTCTAGTAGTCAAAATGCGGATGCCAACCATGTGGCAGGGGGAAAACCTCTCCGGGGCGAAGACACCAAAGAAGCAGCCTGTTCCCTGCAGGCCCGACGCTGAAGTGGTGAGGATGATGCAAGGCTCGGGTTCTGATAGATCGATCCGCGGGTGTCTCCATGCGGTGGAGCAATCATCTTCATAGTACGAGTAGTAGAATGATCTGCTGGGTCGAGAACCTTCTCACAGTCCAAGGAAAGTATTTGTCACACACACACGTGGACTGGGGGAAGGATATTGGGGGAGAGGGGAGGGGGGAAGGCGGTAGGGGAGGAAGGCAAACGTTGAGCGAATAGAGGAAGAGAAGAGCAGCCACCGACAGCTGACCTGAGATGAACAGAAGAAAGTTAGGTAGGCACAGAAAGCAAGCTTGCGGGAAGAGTAACAGGATGATGGGTTGTAATCATCCATGGTTCATGGTTCATGGTTCACACTCAGTATCTTCAGAATCCGGGGCCTAGTCCAGTCTAGCTTTAGTGTCTGTACCCGTCTAACTGACTAACCACCTATCAGCCCATCAGGTAATCTTGATATTGTCTGAGTCTAGCCCTTCCGGTCCGGTGAGTTTCGGCCACGCCGGTTCCAAGTTGCCAAAAACAACACCCACGCGAGTTTTGACTAGACGGCTTTGGCAATCAGCACTGCCACTGATTGGGCGGGCTGGTCATGGGGTTTCGGCTACAAATCGGCGCCCGCAAGAAGAAGAGCAAATCTGCACCCAAGCCACAGGCTAGTCCCGTTCCTACTAACTGTAGTACCCTTTTGGAAGTCCGGACTACGGAGACTGTCTCTACATATCAGCAATTAAGATTTCATCGATCATCGCATCTGTTCTCGGACCCGAAACTAGTACTCCTCCTCCGTAGATATAATTAAATTAAAGTAGGGAATTCATTATCTCGCCAAGTATGAAATTACAGATGTCCCATGATTTCCGGGCATTCTGGCACCATAACCTTAAAATCGTGCACAAGTCTTATCATCAGCTGGCTCTAACCCGATTTCCAGCATGATCATCCCCCTTTTCTTTTCTGACATATCTTGTCGACCTGGTCTAAGCACCTGTAAGTATGTACCTGTCTTGATGGAATGGCAGGCGATCTGAAGACCCGAGTGTGACTTTCCTCTTTCATTTGAGGCTTGATGTTTTCTTCTTTGGGATTTAGACTCTACTACTGTATCTTTAGTCTGACTAACTGATCAATGATTGATCCCAAGTAACTGTGACTGTCATGGACAAACATTCTTTGATCTATAGCTCTATACCATCCGCAGGTCCTCTGCAACAGAAGATCAATCCCAACCGACATACTTAGGAGAGCGGTGAAAATAATCGAGCCGGAGGAAAATTGTTCCTTCGGATCGCCCCCCTTCTTCGTTTTGTTTCCGACGAACGGACGGCTGTAACTTCCGACCCTATCACCCGAAGTGTGTTTTTCTCTTCTGGCGGGGTCTGACCCGGTCCCAGTTTCTGATACGAGGCTCACACCTACTCCGTATACTTCTGGATCCTTTGTTTTTTTCTTGCCGACCCAAAATAATGGTGTTCGGTATCTCTGATCCCTAACCCTGACATGCCCTGATTATCGCGCTAATTTAGTATGCCAGTCAAACAAGATCAAACCCACATTTCCCCCCCTTTGGCCCCCTCACTACGAACTTACAAAATAACTACTATACTTTCTACTGTACTGCGTACAAAGCCCAGACTGCTCCCTCTCCCCGCGACTCGCGAGACTCGCCTGGGCCAATCGAGATCTTCGGCATGGCCGCTGCCAGCCATCGGTTGAGAACCTGAGACTACTGACTAACTCAGCTCACCATCGACTCCTCCCCATCGGGTCCGAGCAAAATCATGAAAGGCAAATTTGCCTCTTACCTTGCCGTATACTATAGGTCATTATCACACCGATGAACCACCCCCTCGACTAGTTAGCTGCTGCGCTTGTGGTCTGTCGGGTTCAGCCTTTGGTCCTACAGCCCTTCTCACTGCGCAGAATCACTCCACATTTTATCCTTGATCACTATCTAAGATATCGTTCTTTACTCTTTCTTCTTTCCCTTTCCCCCTTTCCTAATGAAAATCGGAGTGCTTCTCGGGTGCAGGATCTTTTCAGCGCCTGGACCGAGCTCAACCCTAGTCTCATGATCATGCATGTTGCCCCCCCCCCCCCCAAAAAAAAACTCGCCTAACCTGTCTTCATCTTCATCGGGTCATAACTGCTGTCATTTGATGCCCAGTCTGAGACACCTTCCCCGCATAACCTCATTCACTCAGTACGTCGAACTGTCCCAATATCGCTGGCGGCGGTATGTCGGCTGCGAGAGTTCGGTCGAGTACCTGTTGTACCATTCCCGACCGCTCCCCGTCTCTCCACGCCTGAATAGTCATCCATAACATCCTATCAATTGGACGTCTCGCCTGTGCGCACAGCTTTACATATGAAGCGCATGCTTGTGCGCGCGCCAAACGCACCTTTTCCGCCGAGGTATCGATATCAAGAGTGAGCATCTCGCCGGCTAGCGCTGCCAAGGCATTTTGGTAACCACGTAGATCAGCTTCGCCACCCTGCGAGGCCTCCCAGATCGCCAACTGGTCGAAGACTGCGCAAAGCTCTCTATACAGCGTAGTATGCACGTGTCTATTTCCGCGACCTATCGCTCGGCGTAAACCTGGCACTATACCCTCTAGATGCTCTTGGACAACTGAATCGATTTTAGCACCAACCGATTTGGGAGATCAGCTGCACACAAACTCACCAGTTGTTGGCTGATGCGCAGGTCGAAGACCGCGTAAGAGACATTCGACACATGCGGCTAACGTATCGTCAAGTACCTGTCTAAATTATTTGTCAGCTTCCATCTACTCTGCCTTGCCTGGTTCGGATCAAGCTATGAAAGAGGATTATCTCAAGAGCCCCGGTAAAAAGTGGTCGACGTGCTCCGTGCGGCTGGAAAGCCTCTATAGGTCAACTGGACTTACCCGGATTTTTGGCTGCTATTCGAATCGACCTCCATTGGATCCCCACCGTCTTCTATCTGATCAAGAACACGAGTGACGATACCGATGATTTCTGGCATCAACTCAAGGTCTTCGCGTGCTTGCGCTACTCGGCCGAGTACAACGAGTGCATGTGGCCGGTATGTCGTGTTGCTTCGCTTTGCTTCTCGTATGAGAATAGTCTGAATCAGCCAGACGAGTTAGATTTATTCTATAATCACGAGTAGGGTATTTTCGCAGAACGTTACCTTCATTGAATCCACTAGCTCGGGCTTCAGCTCCCACAGCCTCCTCGATTGAGTTGCAAACTTTGCTAACGCTTTTAGCACCACTTCCTTCCCATCCCATGTCTTGCCAGCTAGCGCTTGTTCCAAGACAGGCCATATGTACTCGCTCGTAGCTAAATCAAGCTCAATATCAAGGGATGTGATAGCATTTGCGAGTCCTAGTGCGGCCGTATGCTTGATAGCCCAACGCGCCGATTCCAGGTTTTGAGACACAAGGTCGACAATCTCTTTCACATAAAGTGAGACTGCGCGGTTACCACCTACATTGTCCTGCCATGTTTTCTCGAATATTTCTCGGACATGCTCATCCACATCGTATCTAGAGACAAAAACAAATGGCAGTATCACTGAGGCGAATGCCATGAACCGGTCATTAGCTAGTTTCGATGTCGAAAGTAGAATCTCAGCTGAAATGGCACGATGGTTTGTGTCCTCTGCCGTAAGGTAAAGCCTTTTTGCGTGGCTAAGTGTGTCTAAGAATTGCCCATCGGAGGCAAGGCGCATCAGATAGCCGATTGAGGAGCAAAAGGACGCGCTAACAGTGTCATTGCGGTCCACCACGTATTTAGCGAGCTGCTGGATGAAGCGATCTGCGAAGGGGCGGAATAGTGTGGTTCTCATGCTTAAGAGTACCAGAACACGACTGCAGCCCACTTTGGACGGAAGCCCCACAGCCGAGCGCAGTACGCCCTCTAGTCTCAATGCGAATTCTTGTATACTTTCTTCATCGAGCATGTCAATGAGATACCGCTCGATGACCTCCATCATAGGAGATGTGCGGATGCTGGACAGACGCATTTTGTCAATATCTTGACTCGTCATGCCATACTTGTCGGCGTTGAGGTGGATGTAATTCACGGCCTGCGGCTCCAGAGAACTCAAGCAACTTAAGAATTGTTCCATGATATGAGGCACAAATGGGCGCAGTGCTTGACCAGGGCTCTTTCTGATCAACTGTGTCAACGCTCCGATGGCGAATCCTTGGACTTCCTCAATCCCAGACTCCATGCCCTTTTCGCTCAACAAGAATGGGATGACAGTCTCCAGCATTGAACTGGCATCGTGTTTATTTCTTTCAAGGGTGCGCAGAATTGAACTGATGATGGTCTGGCAAAGCTTCATCGCTGAAACTCGGACTGTTGCTTTAATGTCGTCCAGGAGCTTGAAGGCTTTAGTGAAGATCTCTCTCATATACCCAGCATACTTTCCCAGTTGGTGCCCCTGGATGAGGTCGGCGATAGCAGCGCAACTTGCTTGACGAGCCCTCCATTCTCGCCCCGTCAGCATGCTCTTCAATAGATCCTTCATGATCTCGTCAAAATGAACATCGATCGTCTCTGTCGGACTCTTGACCAGAGCCCGCCATATCGTGTCCATGGATCGCTGCACATTTGGATTCGGATCGAACCTGTAACGAAATAATTTTGGGTAAATCTTAGGGTTTCTCGCAATGTAGACTGCCACACTTGAATCAGAGAAGATGCTGCTTATGCCCAATTTGCTAAATGCCGCACGACTGGTCCAGAGGGCATTGTTCGAAGCCAGCGACATGAAACGATAAACCAGACTAGGGTCTCCTGCTTCAGCAGCAAGGTTCATGATATCCTTATAAGTGTTCACAGATGATCCGCCCCCAGTTGGCAAGGCGCCTGGCTCGAACAGCTCAGTATTTTCGTTGACCCGACCGCCTCCAAGGTTTGACCGAGTCTCAGTAAAAGAATTTATCAGATCACGCACCAAGTCGTCCTTCAATTCCTCGTCACCCATTCTGTAAACGAGACTCAAACCTTGCGCTCCGGTCTCTTGGACAACTTCTTCGCGATCGACAAGTAAACTACTGAAGGACTGCTGACATTCTCGTAGGCGGGCTCGCATCTGAGGCAAATGGCCGCAATTTTGGATAAGGCACAAGAGCCAAATAGCAGCAGCCTTTCTTAAAGAAGGTTTTGATGCGGCACAGTCAGATAGGATCTTGTCGCATACTTCGGTGAGGACTGACTCTGAGATTCCGGACACGGGAATCTCTTCGTCAACATCAAATTCGAGCACTAAGGACTTGGAGCTCCATCCAGCTGCAGCATGGCTGAGTGCCTCACCCACCGTGAAGTGAAGCTCTGGGTTGCGATTTTCATGAAGGTCATAAAGGGCTTGTCTTAATCCATCCGATCGTCCACCGACAGAAACACTTCCCGTGAAGGTCATTGACAACATCCCTAGCGCCATGATGGCCGTTTCATTTTCTGCTTTGGCCTGCTCGATAAGCTTCTCTCTGATAATTATCCATTTTGACTCAGGGAGGACAGAATAGGACAGAAGATTGGAAAGACCAAATCTTCCAACCGCAGCCTGAGCGGCCCGGCAGAGAAGAGAGTCACGAGCATTCTCCACCATATCACTTATGGTGTTAATGGATTGTCTCACGTATGGTTCCGGCACTTTAGAGATCGTCTTGCGGAAGGCAAGTCTGCTCAGTAAATATGACAAAGCCATAACTGCACCCCTCACCCCAAGTGCTGCCTCGCCGATCGCAGTCTTCCATTGCGCCATAGAATCTAATAATTCAGTGACAAGTGCAGTCAAGTCCTTGGCGGACAGTGCCGGATGCGAAGCCAGGATACCAATAGCTCGTGCGGAGACGTCCTGTATCTCTTGGTCATTACTGCTCAAGGGTATTCTAAGTGCCCATGTCTCTGGCACCACCTTCTGAAGTGTGCTATTAGGACTCAAAGACGATATGCTGATGAAGAGCCTGCCGCACTGATGGGTACCTTTTTTCGTTTCGCGCGACAAGCCGGCCAACGCCCTTGAGAGGAATAAGGCGATTGAATCATCATCGGTAGATCGGAGGTAATCCCCAAGTGCAAATCGGGTTTGTTCGTCAGAGCAAACCAACATGTCTAGTTTGACATCCCAATCATGTTCTATATCGAAACCAGCCCCCGAGGCGGAGATGGATTCCCAGAACAAGATATTACGAAGAAATTCGATAGTCGATGGGAGAGCGTCCTGATAAGATCCCGATAGCGTCTCCACCGCAGACAAACTAGATACACCTTGCGAGGTATTGCTGCCCAGTAGAAAGCGAACTGCGTCAGGGAATCTGGGAAAACAATACCACGCAGATAGCTCATTAGAGGACGAATTATGATCATGGTTAGAATTCTGTAGTCGAAACCAGTAAGGATGCAGACCTTTCTTTCCTTCCTCTACCAGTTCATGGTGCCTCTCTGTACCGCGTGCAATGGCCATTAGATCTATCCATCGGGCAACAAGGTCGTTATAGGGTAAAAATCTGTTCGCAAACCGTACTGCAGCATACTGAGGGCCGCGGACGACAGTAAATCCGGTCAAAGGATCCTCTTGTCCAGGGTGGTTGTTCATCTGTTGAACGAGAAAAGGCCGCAGTTGCGTTTGGAAGTCATGATCCCATTTTTTCATTGAAGAACTGAGAATACTTCCCAGTGCTTGTTCGATACTGACGAAAATTTGAGTACTTGAATCGTCAGAACTGAGCGATGTAAACAGCCATTTAATAAGCTCAAATCCAGACAGAGCGTCCTCTTGGTTCTGGTCTTGAAAGTTTGCTTTGGGAACCATGATGCCTATGCATTCGTAGGCCATGCCCCGCAGACTAAGCTCCATCTGCGGGGGCCTTTGTCCACTTGCTGCTGGGCTCGGCCATCCTTGAGACCGTATGAAGTCTACCAGGCCTGCTATGAATCTCGGTGCCATATTTTGTAGATCACTTAGCAAGCCCATCCTCACCACCCACGTCGTAAGATTGAACAGCTGTGTTCGTAGCTTAGAAGCTTGCAATCCCTGTAAAGATCTCGCACCATCTGACAGGAGACCCTCTTCAATCACGCGCATGACGCGCTTTGTGTCCCTAGTAGCCTTGATTGATCTCCCTAAAAAGACCAGAATCTTGATTTGCAGAGCAGGCCGCGCCGGTGCGGCCCCATCAGGTGACCCTTCACCCAGATAGAGGTCATATAAGTGTTGTACTACATCGGTATCTTCGAGGCTTGGCACAACTTTTTTGAGGATTTCTTCAGCGATATCGGAAAGGCGAGTATTAGCATCCGCAGATGCAACCAAAGCGGGAAAAAATTGCTCGGCGTCACTGAATGCTCCGGAGCTCAGAAATTTGAGAACGTTAACTTTGGTCTCAGTGAGATTCAACCCGCTCTCTGACGAAGCGTTCCATGTCTCGGTGATAGAGGCCCCCTTATTCAGAAAAGAGTATTCGGCTGGAGATAGTCCCGGACATGTGGACTTCTCTTTATCCGCAGGGGAGAGTATGAGTAGCTTCTCAAACAAAGATGATAGAAATCGCGTATCTTGGTCGGAGAGGCCCAATCGAGACTTCCATTCCAGATCTTTGCCACTGGCTTTGGGCGATAGTTCCAGGAGAGGAAGAAGCCTCAGAACCAAGTTGAACACAGTGGCAGCTTGATTGGTGGATATGCCGATTTCAGATATTCCTTGAAGTAAAGGAAATAGGATTTCGACTTTTGCACTTGGGCTTAATCGATGAACGCCTTGTTGAATATAGAGCAAATCAAAATGTCTGATGAGCTGAGAATTTTGTTCTTTGAATTGTCTCAGTAAGGCTGCCACGGGGAGCTTGATGGCGGGAGATTGAACTCGGGTGTTGATGTGCTGACAAACTGAAATGACTTTGTTGCGAACTGCAGTACTCTCAGAGCCCAATTTTAAAAGCAGAGGTGCCAGATAAGTATCTAAAAGTGCTTCCAGTTTGTCATCTGACTCCGTAAGGGCGATTCTAAGCTCAACCTTCGATATCAAGCTCAGTTCGCGAGTTTCAGAGCTTGCTGGATTATTGGTTTGTGAAGCCATGAGACACGCATAGACATACAAGAACGGGGAGACAAAACAAGAGTCAGAAGTATACTAGATTGAAGAGCGAGAGAAAAAGCCGCGATTCCCACTGCATATCAATTGTCACTCCGAGTCTACAGAGTATGAAATCCCGCCGCCCAGGCAGAGAGAGCTCAACGTCACCCTCCACTAAGCCTTACTTGGCTTCCAGCTCTGCCACAATCACATCGGGATCATCTATGTTAGTCATCATATTACTGACATAACTTAGGTGAGTCACTAGTGGTACTACGGAGTACAGTACGCAGTAAAATAATTCATACTAATTCTGTACTGTATAATACATTACGATATAGTGCATAAGTTAAGTTTCGGATGTACCTTTTACAGTACTACGATATCGACTATAGACACCGCCCGTATTTCTAAAGACATTGGCCTTAAACCACATACAGTATAGTGATTTTCTTAGCATTATAAGCGTACTTGGTATTTGTATATAAATCTCCTTACAATTACCAGTATACTATTAATACTACCTAAGATACCGCTTAAGATACTACTTGACTACCTTATGATCAGAAGTAGGTATAATATCCTAAATCTATAGTTAGCGAGAGAATTAGCAAAGTATAGATTTAGCCTTATCTGTGTTTAATACTACTGGCAGTTTAATAAATAGTAGAATTGTAACTTTATCCTTAGGCTCTAAGCTATCTAGGTTACTATCTGAACAGTAGTTATTTAAATAGTCAAAGAAATCTAAGAGATCTGTCTCAAAGTTAATGTCAAATTCGGTTATTTTGGTGGTGTTTTGGTGTTTTGGTGTTTTTTGTGTATAGGGCTAGCTAGCTGTGTGTGGTCAATTCTGCTGGTTTTTCTACTCCGCCTGCACTCTGTTTTGGTATGGTAAACTGAATGCTCCTTCCTAGTTAGGTTAGCGGTACCAAGGCGGCTACCTTCCCTCACTAGGTAGGTTTAGGACCAATATCTTTAGAAATACAGGCGGTGTCTATCGTCAATATCCGGTACTACCTACCTAATAGGCTACTACTACTTAAGTAGGTACCTTACTTGTAGTTAGGTACGGTATATCCCGGAGCCACTCATTGCTCACAACCTCAATCAAATTGTAATTGGGTCCAGAACCACTTCACTTATTCCACCCGGCTCGCCCTCGGCTGACCGTCGGTTTCCGGCAGACACTAGCACTATCATCGCTATCGCAGACCCGAAGTACATGCTTGATATACAAGCGAGCAGTTTCCTCCGCACACATCTGCCGTTTCTACTGGTTCCTACTCTGTACCACTTCACGATCTGCAAAATGAATGGTCATGGTGGGAGCAGGCTAGCACTTGCTCTCTCGGTGCTACAACCCGCTTCTGAAGCACTACTGAATCCAATCTCAGATAACATGGCGTGCTACTCATGCAATTGGCACCTCTCAGATATAATGGCTACGAACCGAGTATTGCAGCTTCCAATATAAATACCCCCGCTTGGCGTAACAAAAAGAGGGCCGGACGTCGCCTTAAGTCGAACACTTTTTATTGTACTTTAAAAGTCTATAAAGGCACAATTCAGATATCCATATCCTTTTGCCTGCTATTGTCATGCGGTTAAGTTTCTGTGCCGTCCTATGGTTGGGGCTCCTCCTTGGCCAGCGCTCAGCTTACGCTCTTCTGGAAGTCTTCCAAGTGTATCAACCCGTGCCCGATGCAGGTACTGGGAACGATCAATGTGCGGGGGTAGAGCTGGTTCTAGTAGATCATGACTTTGGTTACAGCTATGGTCTTCCTTACGTCAAGTAAGTCATGATCTTCTTCCAAGTCAATTGGATTTGAACTTGACGTTTACAGTTTCTATGAGCCGCCGCCCTGCACTTTTGACACTGTTCGCATCAACCTTACTGTCACCTCGATGGGCAGACAGTATGATCGTCTCGCAATTTTGTACCTTGGCGATGTTGAAATATGGCGGACGTCAACTGCCGAACCAACCAGCAATGGCATTGCTTGGACGTATGTCAAAGACATGTCACAATTCAACGCCCTGTGGAAGGAGAAACAAAAGATCATCTTTGACCTCGGGAATATCATTACCGATGTCTACACCGGTTATTACAACACAACATTGACGGCCTATTTCTCTTACGAAAGCAATGTTAAAACACCTGATGCTATCTTGCCTATCTCTGCAAGAAGGTCGGCACAAAACTCGTCCAGCGATTTTGAATTTCCGTCAGAAAACACAACAGTGCTTCACCAGATCCCCTCCAATACGACACGTGCTGTCGTTTCAATCGCTGCCACCGGTCAGTCGACGGAAGAATTCTGGTGGTCAAATGTCTTTACATCCGACTCGTGGTCTTTCAATAACACCATAGGGGAACTATATGGGTATACCCCTTTTCGCGAAATTCAGCTTTACATTGATGGCCTACTGGCAGGGGTAGTTTGGCCATTCCCTATAATTTTCACTGGTGGTGTCGCGCCAGGGTTCTGGCGTCCGATTGTCGGCATTGATGCCTTCGACTTGCGGCAGCCAGAAATCGATATTACCCCGTGGCTATCCATGCTCCTGGACAATGAGACCCACTCTTTCGAGATCAGGATTACAGGGCTCGATGTTGCCGAGGATGGAACTGTCACATTCTCAAATACTGTTGGGTCCTATTGGGTCGTGACTGGGACTATATTTCTGTATATGGGTGAATCCGCACAACGTTATTCTCCTTCTTTCGTGCCTAAGATAACAGCTCCCCCGCCCAAGTTTACAGCGACCCGGGACCTCCTACAGAATGTATCAGGAGACAATGAGACGTTGACGTATTCGATCACAGCCGAGAGAACCTATACAGTACAGTCTTTTGATTATGCCTGGAGCCAGAACCTTTCCTACTCGAACTATGGAATCTTGAACTCGCAAGGGTTGAGCCAGAGCAATCTTCAGCATACTTCTGGACGCAACCAACTCACAGGCGGCAAATCCCCGAATGAGGTCGCATTCGACTATCCTCTGGTTTGTAACCAGACTTACAATTTGGACGACGGGCTTAGTATCAGTGCTTGGCTGCGTAGGGGACTTGATATTGAAGCTACCGGAGGCCTGGGTATTTCAACCTACACTCTTACATCAGGAGCACTGGACTTGCACACTGAGCAACAAGGCACGGCTTTTTATCAATCAACTTCGGAAGATAGTGTGTCATACGGTGAAACAAAAGACGTCTTCGACAGCAATGCCAGTGGCGTCTCATACAGCCGGAAAGTACATGCAGTTAACAGCAGTGTGGTTTACGACTCGGACAGTCGGCATTAGTATTGGTATTCCTAATGCATTGGCTGATTTTGATTTCTTTTCACTCCTTTCAACTGCGAACGAGTCATCCGATTGTAAGAACGAATCTTACTAAGCATGTAACGTGATCCACATGCGAGCTGGCCGCCCAAGCGAGTGGGCCGGCCTTGTATTGCATATAAACAGTCTATTTTCCAACTGTTTAAAAACTTAGCAATTTATACTCTAATATCCCATGTACTTGTAATTTAGCTTAGAACTTTGACTCTAAACTATCTATCAAATTTAGAGCTCTATAATATCTTTATTTACCAAGGTAAAATAAAATACACTGTATAATTAGATATTAAAGGTAATATATATATAATATTATATATAAATATCTAAAAGATCTTTAATTAGGATAGATTATTCTTTTAGTATTTCCCTATGCATTC